CTGGAGGTGGGACTTTACACCCACTAACAAAATACATCATCTATATGTGCTATAACCAGAAGCTACTATCGTTCCTATATAACCTGTCCTCCCCCCCCCCCTCCCCTTCTTAGGTGTGAGCTGGTGTAAGAGAAGCTCGTTAAGTCAAATTCCTCTCAAAAAGGGAAAAACAATTACTACTCGTTAATAGCTTTCGCATTCACGGCAAGTTGCCAAAGACTGTTCACTTGGCTAGCATTAGGTTCATCATTCTGTGAAGGAAGATGCTTAAACCAGCATCTTTTAGAAAGATGCAGTTTCCACAAGTATATGCTGTGAAAATAAATAATTCTTATATAAACAGGCATTTAGGCTTTTGGCATACTTAATAGGAGAGATGCTTCAGTAAACCTAATTTTCAACCCGAACCCCAACTTTCTTCTGGTACACATCACACTTTACTTATGCCTCGAAGTCCACAAGTGAAGATCTAAAAGACCATCTTCATCTACTAGTATGAGAGATAACTGTTCCAATTTATGCCTTGCATCTCAGAAGGATGATAGGAACACAAAAACCTTCCATTACATGTAGAACAGGTTTATCTGTTGACATTATACACAACTACAAATGAAGGTAAAGATCCTACCTGCGTCTGCAACCACTTGGCGACTTGTAGTGACCTCATGCCATGGTGACACTGCATAGAAGACAAAAAGTTATTTGAGAAGAGACAGGAAAGGGAGGGAAGGAAGAGGAGAAGCATATTTTTGAATAACCGATATTCACCCATCTGACCCTCTATATGTTATCATAGTTTATCATGACAGATTTTTACAAAATAAGCAGTCAAATTTTGAGTTAAATGCTTCTGTTTAAGGAGAAACTCTTAGCTCAAAGCGTAAGAACAGAAGACCGGCTTCTAAACAGTGTTAAGAAGTGTCTGCAAAGAAGAACATGCACTAACCAACACATAAGTGTCCTTCTGAGGATCAAACTTAGTAGTTATTTCTGGTCCCCAGACTCCAAATTGGCGAAGAGGAAGAACCTGAAATCCTGGTACAGAAGCTTGGGCCCTGTCACAACACAAAAAGCAGAAATGAACAGTGGAACCATGATTCCTGCTCTTCTAAAGAAAAATATAGTGACCTCATCCTCCTTCCAATGCATTCACATGTTTAAGTATCATGCTCTAACTTTCCAATGTCGCCAAATATGTCTAATGAGGAGCACTGAGAATTTAATTTTGAAGCAAATAAGATCAGTCAATTGACTCGCACAACTTGTTATTGTCATTGTTAGTACAATTAATACTACTATTACTCATAAGCCAGGTGTGATGCAGATAAAGAATAAATTCCACATTTGCATGGGATATTACTAGCTTTCGAGGCAGTTTCTGGCTTGAAAGTGAATCTTGCTAAGAACAACATCACAACATCATTAGTTTTAATGCACCCCCAAGATTGGTGGGCAGCTTCTATTAGCTTCTCCTTATATTTGAAGGCTGAAAGACAGGTCAATTCTGCTCAGCATCAAAAGCTATTGCCTTCCCATAAGTCATATACCTATTCTCTCCGTCTTTGTCGTGTGACAGGAACCATGTGGACACGCTTCACAACTGAAGCCACATTCATTACTTGGGAAGCCCCTTGGACTCTTTTCTATTTTAAGTCCAGTATGCTCATTAACTTAAATAAATAATAAATAACTAAAAGATATTAAAGCTGCAAGTGAGTATTCTAAAATAGTGAAAGAAACGAGCTCATACACTTCCTCTGGTTCTCGAACATCAATCAATTGAGCCTCTTCCAGGAAAGAGGGATCTTGAAACCTCACATGAAACTCGTTCGGCTGGATGTGTTCAAGTACAGATTCCTCCCTGCATATAGCAGTAACACAAGTAAGAACAAGGCTCCTGAGTTGTTCAAGTGAAGAAGGATTTCTTTGATTACCTCTCAGATAGAACTTGCAACAAATGCCACCCAAACTTAGTTTTGCACTTTACAACCTTATTCAGAGGTGCACCAAATGCAGCTTCTTCAAATTCTGGCACCTAATAATATTAACAATGAAAATACAAAAACAAATAAATCAAGTCAATTAAGCCTGGGCATCCAGGTGACCAAGAATGCAACTTCTAAAAAGTAGAAAGGTACTTATTAGGATACAAATAACAAAAGGCAACAATGGTGTAGTTATGTACAATTGGAAATTTAAAATCATAACAAAAGTCAAATCTCCATCTAAATGTTTATAAGACAGCACATGTATGATATTTTGTTTGCTATCATCTGAAGGCCTGTCAGTATGAAAATTAACATTCTGGAAACATAATCACAAGAAAATTTGATTCCTGTCACCAAAAGCCGAAGAAAAAGAAGAAAAATACTTTTGAAGATAAGAATCATAAGAAGCATACCATTTGCCCTTTTCTCACCCAGCCCAGCATTCCCCCATCTTCTTTAGATGGACACATGGAATACTCAACGGCCAGATCACTTAGATCCTCTCCTGATTGTAACAAGCATTTCAGTCAACAATATAAATGAAAGGACAAGCATCAAGAGAGAACTTGTTTCATACTAACATACCCAGTTCTCAAATTTAATCATGACATTTGAATAACTTACTTATAAATTTAGTCCTCATTTGTTCTCAGCTTCTTAAATTTGTATGGAAATGTTACTGGGGCTTTCCTTACTAAGAAATAAAGTTGAAAATTAACCTTCAGCAGTTCTTTTCTGAAGGTCGAGTAGAAGCTTCTGATCGTCTTCTTTGACAAGTAAATGCTGCACCAATATCTCCCGATCGCCTCCAGAACTGCCTCCAGGACCACTCCCAGCACTATATGAAGCTGAAAGTTATATATTGTGAGATTTAGCAGCAGCATGCATCAGATGATAGCAAAAGGAAAAGAACTCTCTTCGCCCTTCAGATTCTGGAACAACCACTACGTGATCTCAAGATCCAGAGGACATCAGACAGACAAAACCTATAATAGCTACACTCACATTTCTGATGATTGATGAAGCCACTTTTTTTTTTTTGGAGATAACTGTGGTGTCCGGGCCAGTTTGCGCGAAACTTCGGTACCACTAAACTACAAAGCGTGCTGCTTTCCACTAATATTTCTACAAATAGGCTGTTTCTACAGCTCAAACCATGACCTACAGGCATGGGCAGAGCTAGGGAGGAAAAGTACACTATATACACAAGGTCAAGTGAAAATGGACCTCACACTTATTGCCTGGAAACTATGGTACCAGTAAACTACAAATCGTGCTACCTTCCCTTATTATTTCTGCAAATTGGCTGTTTCTACAGCTCAAACCATGACCTACAGGCACGGGCAGAGCTACGACCGGAAAGTGCACCGTATACACAAAGGTCAAAATCATTTCTTTGGGTTAAGGTCTCGTGTCCAAATTCCAGCAGAGACAAAAACACTGCCTTCATTGATAGAGTTACCTGGTCTATCTCATGGAAGTTGTGTCGTATGCTGTCTCAGATACCACGGTTATCCAAAAAGAATCATTCTTTGGGTATATATATATAGTAAATGTTGAATCTTTTAGCTTTTTCATTCTGAAAATCCCAGCTTGGCCACTGCCTACACATCATCAAAAAGAACAACTCTACCCCACCCCCCTCCATTTTGACCTACATTTTAACTCTACTGTTACACTAGGGCTCAACCTCAACAAAGCATCCATCAGCTACGAACAAAAAACAGTAACACAATAGAGATTGTTCATAAAATCAAACAAATACCTGTAACCACTCTCGAACAAGAATGAGTACGACCCATCATTGTTGACACCCTTTTGAAGCTGGGAAACTGGAAATTACGTGAATTGGGGAAAAGGGTTGTCGAGTGAAGTAAAGCTAAGCGAGTAAAGTTTGATACTTTACGAGAAGATGGATTCAAGAAAGAGAGAATGAAATTAACTGGTGCTCCACAAATTGATGGAACATGCAAAGAAGAAGAAGAAGAAGAAATTCTCAACATTTTTTGGGATTTTTTGAGAAATTTGGAATGCAAATTGAAATCAATTTTATGCAATTTTTTTCTTGAAAGATTAGAAAACTATATCTATCTACTACTCCTTCCATTTCATTTTGACTTTAGTACTTCCCTAGATTTTGGAAATCTATATGTTGATTAGTAAGGGGTTGTTTGGTGGGGTGCATTAAAAAAATAATACAAAGAAAATTTTATTTCAATCGTGACACATAAATTGGGATAAAGGGTATATTACCATGTTTTGTTTTTACTTGGATTTTGAATTAGTCATACATCTTTGTCTATGAAGAAAATCATCACCATCACACATCACCCCTCCCGATTTCACTTGTGAAATTACATTGAGTATTGAGTATGTAGTCTCAAACCAACAAAAATGAATAATGTCCAAAGAACTAACTTTGAAGAGCCTTAACAGCACCTGTGGAGAGTTCAGAAAGAATAGCTTTATACAGTTTGTCATCAATTTGACATTTAACTTTGCCAAAACCTCCAGAATGTGGCTATAAAACACAGTTCTAAGAAAAATCCTACTAGAACAGCAGAACAACCAAAAAGCTGAATTTTAGAACAACTACTACAAGTGCTAATAACCAGGTCAAAATTTTATGTGTATATATTCAAAGAATTTCGTAACACAAATACACTTTAGGAGTAAAAAACTACTGGGTTTGGCTGCACCCGTATCTGAGCTTCTACCTCCGCCCCTGTTTCTGTACTTCTAGATATACAACAACCAACTCTGGCATTGGAACAAATTTATAAGGACATGAATGGTACAGACTCCATGCATTTAAAAAGAGCAACGGATTTGAGTAATAATCCTGTCAAACCTCCATTGATTGATAACGATTTTCAGAAAAGTGGTTTGAGAGGCTAGAACTGAAAAAAAATAAAAAAATCACCATGCACATCTTGATCCCTCGTTTACTTCTTGTGGAAGTTGGAGAATGGTGTCGTATCTTCGTCTACCTCAAATGTGACAAGGGACGGAAGTTAACAGTGGCAATCAACTTCCTGATTTTTTAGGCGACTTGATGGCCTCCAAGTATAGACAAGCATTCCTATGACGAGGATGATGGCTCCTGAAATGAAACCGGGTGGGAGGGAGGACGCAACGCCAAGATATGGTAATGGTAATGTGAATAAAAAGACTGATATTGGTACTGCAGAGAAAAGTATCAAAAGAAATTGAGGTCAGTAGCGCCTAGATATTCGTCTAGAAGAAAAGGTTTCAACTGCAGTAAGCTGAGACTAAATCTGCTAGTGTAAGTGAAATACCTGAAACTGTAGACGCGAGACAAGATAGCACAGCAGAGGAAATCTTAAGCAGATGTAACAATGATATATTGTAACCCATGTTGACAATGATAAACAGCAGCGGTAGAAGAGGTGCACCAGCACACCCTAGAACAAGACGAGAAAGAAACAACTACAATCAGTGCTCTGTCTTTGAATAAAAGAGTAATAAATTGAGAAGAAAATATCGCATGATCTAGCTTTTGGGGTCGAATTAGGTCCAAGGTTCATTATTCATGCTTCTCCTTTTCGTGCATCATCAGAAGCTAACTCAAACTATTTCACTACTTACCACTGGATAATGTGCCGATGTTCAAAAAGCATGCAGCACCATCTCTAAGATAGTTTGGCAGTTGAGTAAATGGAACACCCCATAACTTCGACAAAAATGGGAGGAGAAGGCATATAAAAACTGCCTGCAAAAGATGTCGAACCAGTTTCAGTAAGGAAAAGAATACAGTGAATTATAAATAGTACAAGATGCCTACCTGGTAAGCCGATCCAAACGAGTTCACAACAAACAGATCAACAGTACCTCCCTGCTTATACCATGGTAAATTAAGAAAAAGACCATCAGATCTTAGTATGTCAAGTAATAACAGAACAAAGTTAGGAATTCAACATACATTTTTGTGGGCTAACTGAACCTAGGCAAGGTGACTAAAGACGCTCAAGTCTAGGTACAACTGTTTCTAGTAGCAGAATAAGTTTCCTCTTACTTTTCGACAAAGATAAACTTCTTATTCAGATAATGGTTTTCTGACTTTTAACAGCTAAATCATGTACTCCCTCCGTTTCGATTTGTTTGTCTTACTTTCCTTTTTAGTCTATTTCAAAAAGAATGCCTCTTTCCTTTTTTAGCAACTCTTTGATTTCAATTTTTCACTTGACATTTTTAAGACCACAAGATTAAAGGGCATTTAGGTACATTCAACATTTCTTTAGTTTAAGACCACAAGATTCAATCTTTACTTTCTTAAAATCTGCGTCAAGTCAAAACCAGACAAATAAATTGAAACTGAGGAGTGATAGAAAAATCTGCAGCATGCCTACCTTCAGCCTTTTAGCAGCATCCAGGAATATTACTTCCTGCATACAAGGAAAATGAATCCTCTAGGTAAATCATACTGCTATCATGAAGATGACAAAACCTCGAAATCCTATTGAAAGAAGAAGAGAGGAAACAAAAGGGAAGGTATGAACCTTCAAGACAGTATCCGCAGCTTGTAACAAAAAAGAAACTATCATCAAAAGACTCCAAAATACACCACCGTCCATCAAAGATCCAGCACTAGATCCACTGCAAATTAAGTAAGAGACAATCAGGAAATTCAACCACTATTTGAAAGTATGGTTCCTCATTCAAACTTAATTGCAAACCAAGATTTTCCAAAGAGGATAACTCTTGTTGGAAGTAGATTATCATTTCAAATATTTCATTTATCCATGAGTAATAAATAACGTGGAAGTCCTACCTAACCAAACACAATAGTAAGGATAAGATAGAAGTTTGGAGTGTGATAGGATGATGCACACTTTAGGGGTATGGTTACTGTAGATACTTAGAATTATAGAAACATCTGATTGGTTTCTCAAAATCTCTAGTTCAACAACAAATAATTTTGACAAAGGGAACACTAATGATATGTATCTGCAACTGAGCATCATCCATACGCAGAAAGAGAAAGCACAAATGCAACACTTCACCATTTGAACTTTTGGTGGTTTTATTGTTATACTTCTTCGCTAAACAATATAGAGAAGATAGACATTGACTTCCAAGCAATTTTATGTGCATCAATAAGTTTTCTGAAACTTCACATGACAACAAGATTTAGAACACTTTAGGAAAAACTCTTGTTTTATTTTTTGGAGTAAGTGCATTCCTCAATGACACTGCATCGCATGAGACTGAGCAGCCTCAATGGCACGGCCAAATCCAAGAGGAGCATAGACATACTTAGGAAGAACTATCACCACAAACTAAATAGACGACGAGGCTTCAGATCTCAGTAGTTAGAAACTTCCAGCCACTTGAACAAATTTTGCAAACTGATTGTTACGTAATTCTCAAAAAGCTATAGACAGAAATTGTGTCACATACCTTGCTACAGTTACTATAACACCAACAGACACGAGAAAGCACCCAAACAACTGGTTGAGGCTATATCTTCTTCCAAGGAAAATAAAAGACAGGAGAAGTTGCCACACAAGAAAGCTCTGCAAGATCAACAGATGGCCGAGTTAAATAACAGATTCAATTAACTTGTCACAGGAAGCATTACACGAAGTAAGCCTACAAGCATGTCCGTAAAACAACAACAAGCACTATGCCTCAATCTCACACTAGTTGGGGTCCTCAATATTCATTTGGACCATTTCATTTGAATACTCAACCATTTGTCCTTTTTCTATCTCCCAAAACTATAAGTTTTATAAATTTTACACTGACATGAAAATCTCTAAACAAACTAAAAAGATTCCTGCCAAACATATATGGATCTTTTGCTTCTGTTTTGTTCTATTCTTTGCTAAGTCCGAATATATACATAAGACTCTGTAGGTTTTTTATATGAATTGGATCTACCTCATCCACTTTAGCACTTTCAATCATCATAGTATCAATTCTACAAGCCTGTGCATTTGGAGGTACTACTCAGGTGACTTCATCTCATTCTTATCCTCTTCTACGTGTACTACTTGTGCCTTATGTTTTATGTGATCAACTTATATGACTGCACATCTTAAGAGCATTTGATTTCCCATTATCTAAATCATATGTTTTTAGGGTGACCAGTTAATCTTTCTGAGTACAGGTATTTAATATCAGTGGTTAAGAAATGAACCCATTAATGTCAACAATCAAATTGTTCGATAGTCTTCGTAGACAATGTTCTATGAGAGGAGCGTAAAATTGTTAGAACAAATATACTTATGCAGTCAAGCCACTACTATATTAGCACCCGCTCCCTATTTTTAGTTTTTATTTCCCTATCTTCAAAGTGTTTGGTCCTGCAATCAAGTTTTCAGGTAAGCTTCCTAGTTTTCCATCAATAGACTTAGGCACTTGAACTGATGGATACATTTCCTAAAAACCTAAAATCATGTGGCTCATTATCAGTATATGCTCTAAGAAGTTCAAAAAAAAGGTGAAAGGAAACAAATTTCAAATTTTTATTACCTGTGAGAGTATTGGAATTGTGGCCCCGGAAAGAATAGCTGTTGTAGAAGAGAATAATAACAAAGGATTAAGTAAAGAATCGAAAATCGGCAAAGCTATATAAATTCTCATGTTCAAGATTTCATGAAAAGAACAGAAGATCCAGAAATAAATTTCAAATAGAGAGGTCCATGAACTAAATGAAAAATAATACAAGCTGTCAACAAATTGGCATTTCGAGAGCAACTTGTTTAAGTCTTGTCAAAAGGACTCTTTGTATTTTGTAAGCAATAAAATGTCTTTAGAGGTTTGCAATTACTTATGGTACTCCTTTGCAATAAACACTTCGATAAAACATAATCTACTTAGATAATTGTGTTTCATAGCATCTTCAATTTTAAAGGATATCACTTTCCTTTTCAGATTTCTAGGCTAACATTATACAAAGAAAAAACTTCGAACTGAAAAGTATTAGAAGTCCTCTATATTTGCTTTGAATTTTTTACTTTCAAAATAATGTCTTATTTCCATAGAAGTTAATTACCTATTACAGGAAACATTGCAGGTAACCCCCATCTAATTAGTACTAATAAAAGCACATGAAGAAATAATGTTTTGATGAATATCATAGTTGACAAAGAGATATCCAATTTGAGTAACGAAAATACTTTAAAACATCTACTGGATATTCTAGTAATTTGATTCAGCATAAACATTGTATTACCTCCAGCTGCCATGCCAGACGCAGCAGCAAGAGCCTCTAATAGACCAACAGCAACATATGGAATTTTTGGAAGGGAAAGCATTTCATCAGTAACCTTGCCAGTATGATACCGTACGTATAAGATAGAGAAGTATACGAGTACATATCTGGGTGAAAGGACGCAGACGAAGCAATTAAGTTATTCCAACCATTAAACAAAACAACTGGAAATAAACAATCAGTAACAAATGTGTCTACAAATTTTTATTATTGATGCATTGTACTCAGATATTCAGCATATCCAGCGCGAAACTAAAGAACTTATACATACTTATGATTTTTATCTTCTTAAGTCTTAGTAATGTGAGTTAAGTGATAGAGGAATATTTAAAATTACTTTAGTCACACTATCAAAGAGTTCACGAATCCCCGTTCTGCCATCCAAACAAGCCACCCGTTCAAAGTTCCAGGGTTGGGCCGGATAGGACCAGATCCCTGCACTTTCAATACTACCTAAAGTTGGCTTAAAACTGAACTTGTGTGGCTGTTAGAAAGTTAACTATAAGAACCAGTTCATCAGAACCAATGTCATTAATAACAGTTCTGCTGTTTCTGATTCATCTCATTTAAAGCATCATTTGAACCAAATCTGGAAACCAAGCAAAAAAGGGTACAGAGCACACAATTCAATCTCCCCTAATAAATTGCATAATAAAGTTACCCCATGCATCAAGTATCACAAACAATGTAGAGCAAAATCATCCTGCAGGAGCATTATTTTTTCCAGTGACATTGTATATGTAGAATAAGCATACTGTTAAACTTGTTTGTAGGGGTAATACTTAATTTTTTCCCTTTTAATTATCACAAATTAGAACCACTTCTTATTTCTAACCACAAAGATTAACAATGAAGGCTACAGGGATTTAAATTTTAAAAGGAAAATTAAACAAATGCAAATATGTCACACATAGGTCTCAAATATACAAAGCAAATTTTTAACTATTGTTAAGGGAACACCAACATTCTGCCTATGGGACGACCCGATCAGTGTCATGGTCAAACATAGTGCTTTCTTGATGAACTTGGTTAATAAATAAAGTTGTGCTCATTTTTTATATGATGGTAAGTGTTTTATCCTAATAAGTGGTTCAATTCCCAAGAATAACATGCACACACATTGTGTTGAGGTATTGTTGAGTAACACCAGCATCCTACCAATGGTGAAGCTTAAGTGATGGGTCGAGCATAGCTCGGGTTAGAGTCAAATATAGCACTTGATGGACTTGATTAAGAAATAAAGTTACCATATTTACTATTAATTACTACTCCCTCTATCTCAATTTATGTGACACATTTCGCTTTTCGAGAGTCAAACAGTTTGATCGAGAATTTCCTCATGAAATCTTTAAATTTTTTAAAATGAAATTTATATATTTGTAAACTACATAAAAAGTACTATAAGTCTCAATAATTGATAATTCAAAATATAGAAAAAATTTACGATAAAAAATAGACTTGTTTGAATCTCGATATTCAAAATGTGACATAAATTGAGAGAGTATAACTTTTGGCATGACATAACATTTAACCTACACCCCCAATAATTGATGATGCATCAATGACTAGAAAACTATGGTAATATGGTCCAGTGGGTCCAAGGTGCAGTCGAAAGAATACATCCTAGGTAGGGGAAGTGATAAATTGAAAGAGGCTATGCAAAGTTTTATTCTTTCATTGTGAATCACTAATACTATGCATTATCAAGATGGAAATTACTCTATTACCCCCATCTATGGAAAGTATGACAAGGACTGACACTGACAAAAATAGGCAGTACCTTTAAATGTCTCTATTACCCTTGACATCATGTCACGTGACCTTGGAATTTTATCACGTGGCTTTCCATTTTCTTTATTTTTGTAAATGAACTTTTGTCTTTCAGCTAAGGGCACACATTACAAAATGGATTTACATGGAGCATTACTAAGAAGAAAAAAAGCATATTTTTCTATATTTAATAATTTTTTTATAACAATAATATATTTAATATAATTTCATAGGTAGAGTTTGGAGATGATTAAGTGTACGTATAACTTACCCCTACATTGTAGAGGCGGAAAGACCGTTTCCAAAAGATCATAGGTCGAATAACACACATCAAAACAAATATATAGATAAGTTGAACTAGGTTATTTCATTTTTTTTAATATGTAAAATCTATATATTCTTAATTTACATGAAAAATACTATATTTTACAAATTGTTTCTCATACCAATTGTACAAATTAAATGTACCTTGCCGCTTGATATATTTTCTATTTCTCTCTTATATTTTTATTATAATATAATTGTCGTTTCCTTTCATTATAATTTCAGCATCTTTGACCATGTTATACTCCCTACATACTGTTTTTTACTTATCACATTTTCTAAAAATAGTTATTATTATATAAAAAATTAAAAATAAAAAAAGAGAATCGGTTCACTATTTTTACTCTAATAAATGTGGAATACGTCAAATTATTTCTTAATTAATGTATTTCAAAAATACGTGGAGAAAAAAAGGTGACAGTAAAATAGAACTAAAGAAATAACAAACAGATAGTTGACTTACACTATCCACTCGGGTCACCCTAAAATATCGCGGAAGGTTAAATTCTCCTTCATATTTAATTGAAAAAATCGCGGGTTAACAAGGAAACCAAAAAAAAAAACTTCTATTTCAAATCAATAATAAAACCAAAAATAGCATACGATTGTTAATTATATTTTCAGATCATCATTCCGTGCTTGGGTCGGTAGGAGATAATAGGTACTTCTTTTTCCATCTGATATTCAATGCATATATTTAAACTTCAATTAAATCTATATCGCACACTATAACGCTCAATTGGAGATGGTGCTCCCAACAAAATTTTCTAGATATCTTTAAAATTAGTTGAGGCGCGCTAAGTTGGTCAGTTATATAAAAAAATATATATTCATTTTACTTTCCAAAAATTTACAAGCAATATTGTCCATTGAAAAATATAGTAAAAATATTCATAACTAGAATTTCTTTTTTGACTAGCTGAAAGGTCAAAAAAGGAAATAAACTCTGAATAGATATTTTATTTTATTTATCAATTTTCACAAATTAGAAAATTCTATCACTCTAACTTAGTGACTTATTTAATTGGAATAAATTATCTCAAGAGTTAGAAATAATATTACAATTTTGAAATAAGTTATTTTATAATTTTATTATAGCTAAATATAAAATAAACTTACCTAAAATTAATCTGGTGAATCGTAATTAGTTGTTTTTTATCGCTCATACAAACAAGCTATTAGTCATAAATAACTACGTAAAATAATACAAATAATCAAATTTAGAGTTCTAAAGTATGTTACTAATAGTTAAGTAAAACTATAGTTCTAATTATATTTTCATACCGAATCAACAAGGATCACAACTAATAGAAACGAAAAGAAAATTACCCGAAAGTGGCGAGTTGAGCCAAGAAGAAAGGATAGTTCTTCAAAGGCACTAACGCCAACTTGTAAAGCACGCGATTCCCTACACCTAGCACCACCGTAGCCGTCGCTGCAACCGCCACCTCCACCCGTCGATTACTACTTTTCCGGTTCTCATTAATCTCCACAACCTGATCTCCCACCGCACACCTCCTCCTCGTCCTCCATTTCCCATTCTCTCCGCCATCGAGTCCGCGGCGGCGGAATACACCGGTCGATTCCGCTGCCGCAATTACGTAAAATTTCGTTCTCGTTGATCTGCTAACGATTGAGGTCGGCCGGCGAGTATTGCTTACGAAATAACGAACATATGTGGAAGAGAGATAATCCGGTGACCGGACAGCTGGAAGTTTTGTTACCGGAATATGATACCTTGCTATCGGCGACGACAATTCGCCGGTAATTATCCGGCGAGTACAAACCGACATGGTGAGATTGTACAATTATCAATTACGAAAATACGTAAAACAGATTTATTTTTTCTTTCAGTTACTAATAATAAGAATTTTGAGAAGAAGCTCTTATATAACTCTTTTTTTTTTTGTAATATGATGGTGATTACGACAGAAAAACACCTAAGGACAAAATAGGAAATTAAAAATTATGTCAGATTTTTTTAATTTTAATTTTGGAAGTTACAACGAAGGAAACAATTTAATATAGTCATTCACATCATAGCATACGTAAGCATTTTGATTTTCTTTTTTAATTTCAATTTTGTGGAAGTCTTAAATTTGAAAGTGCATTCGATGGAAGTTGTCAAATTCGCTCACATGGTACATATTCTTTTTATCGGTGTAGAACTATATACGAGAACTAAATGCTCAATTTAAAATGTTTCATAGCAGTGATATACGACTTTGAACCTAATGATCTATCTAATAATTTTCGAAATGGGGAATTCTTGTTAGCAATAATCATGATAGTAGTTGTGGGAAGCTGGAATATAACATATGAATTGATCGTAGCTTTAGTGTGTAATTCGTTTTAGGTGACAATATTGACTTGCAAAAAAGATACTAAAAATATCTACTTATTTCATTTATCTGTGTCATTATTTAAAGTTAACGCAGCCTTTAGCCATTGATTTTTATCAAAAGAATCTTGTTGGCTTTTTAATCTTTTAATGTGTGGTCCTTTTTCAGTAGTAATAATAACTAGAATATTTTATATAGAATAATTAACACTTTATTGGTTGTGTTAAATCATTAGTGAAGGTCCCCTACTTTGAAAAGGTAGTGTAGTGACTAGAAAAAGAAAAGAGAAGGAACTTTAAAAACATAAAAAGACAATAAATTGTTAACACTTTTGATACAACCCTTTCAAAGTTGACTAACAGATCACTCATTCTTCGATTGAGAATAGGTGCACGAGTGACAACTCTAAACATCACACATCCACTACCTACCTACCATTTTGGTGACACCAATAGATCCAATAAGGAAGTGTCGCGACTACTCCACTCCACGTCAGTCTCATAAACTAATTCATTTCAATTTGTTTGTCTAATTTTGAATTGATATGAAGTTTGAGAAAGTAAAGGATCTTCTAGATCTTGTAGTCTTAAACATATCACATGGAAAGTTGAAGTTAAAAAATCGCTAAAAAAAGAAAAGAAAAGTTTATTTTGAAACGGACAAAAGAAGAAAGTAAGACAAACAAATTGAAACGAAGGAGTACTAATCATTAAGAGAAGATTTTGAGTTCGGTCTTGAGGATAAAATCGCTCTTAGTAAAGAGCGTTAAACCCCAAAGTGGAGCTTCCCAGCACGAACTCCAATTAGAAAGGTTCCAAAGCAGATATGAGATACCTAACACATTATGCAACAACAACAAACCTCGTGCAACCCCACAAGTAGAGTCTAGAGAGGGTGGTGTGTACACAGTCTTAAAACATTTTTTTTGTCAATCTTAAACATTATGGGACACAAAAAGACTACTTGGATAACATTTGTCTAGTCTAGTTAGTTTATCCTCAAGTTAAGCTCTGCAAAGATAAATAAGCTAAGATACCAGAGCTTGCAAATTAAAAGGACTATCTTCAAAAAGCAAAAAAGAGATGTTCCACTAATAATACAAAAAGAAGTTGGAGAGAAATTCCTTGCAGGTTTAAAAAATTATCTTCACAGCAGTAGAGAGTTGCAGCAACAAACCCATCGAAGAATTATTGTTTCCTTCCTCTTCCTTTCTTAGGTGCTTGTGCCTCCATTTGTTCTTTGCCACCCACTTCAGATATATCAGCTGCAACGAAGAGAAATTGCAAAGCATTACGATGACTGGAGCATTGGGGAGATGCAACTATGCACGTATCAAATAGAACTTCTTAGGAATCAATACGCGCAAAGATAGAAGCATGTCTAACAAGGTACACGTGAGTAATTAGTAAAGATCAGATTGTCATTAGATGTTACTTATACCAAACAAACAAGGTACCATGTGAAGAAAGTTTGAAAAAGTAATACCGTCTGGACCACGAGACATCAAGGTGAAAAAAATGTTGTTAAGTTTCTCCATCTTCTTGGCATCTTGGGCTTGGTCAGTCTTAAACTTGATACACTAGCAAGGAATTAAAAATACAAACCATTAGAACAGGCAACCAATATGGAAAATTCTCTGACATGCTCCCATCAAACATGGGATACTGGATACATTACATACCAAATGTCTAAAAAGGAACTATTACATAAAAGAGCTACAGAAGTCCACAATTATGAGCTACCAAATGCATACAAGGGAAACATTACATAGCGGAGCAGCAAATGTCCCTCTTTTCATTCACGCGAGAACAAGAGGAACCCAAATATTGGATGCAAAGACTGAATAACAGCTTTATTCAACACCATGAAGAAATAACAATGTCTGAGCTAAAGGTAGAGAAGGGAGGGTTCAACTGACGCCTCTTCGTTTGAAAATTATACTATGCAAGTACAGTGAGTAGTCTAAGTTAAGGACAAGAGGAGAAAAAAAAGAAGAGTTAGACTCACTTGAGATAACATGTATGTATATCACTGATATAATATCTAATACAAAAACACACAATAAATCATCATTTTGTCCTTTATTTAACCTGAAAACACGCATACACACACACTCCATATAATAGACATTGCTTGAAGATCTGTTTATAAGAAAGATAATTACGTCACCATGCTCTGCAGGGAAAAGGGCGTACGGCAACACACGCCACCTATTTCCACACTTTATCACATACCTATCAGCGATGCTGCTATTATTCCCTACCCTTTTTTGGGTTGGGTTTTGGGGGAAGGGGGAAGGGGGCAGAAAGGTAGGAATAGGAACAGGCACCTACTAACTGACTCTTTCTAGTTTCAGCACGAAGGAAGTGGAAGGTGATCATATTTTCTCCGTTCAATGACTGGTTTACCATCAGAATTATACAAGCCAACTCAAACATTTCAAACCAAAATAGAACACAATTATTTTAGGACTATTCTCTATTACTTTTCCATGAGAGGTACTAATAACTTTTGAATTTGGGTATCATCAAAGTTTCTGACAGAATGTCCAGTCACCCAAGTAAGCTGCAAAAGAGCTGAGGTATGTTCTAATGTTCAAACATAAGAGAACCAAAAGAAATAAGGTTCACCACAAGCTAGGTAATAAGAGAAAAATAAAAGTATGTTGAGGGAAAAAGGACAATGGAGAGGCCTCAGCGCTTTGACAAATGGCAAAGGTAGCACAATGAGGGATAGCATGTCACAAGTTTGAATCCTGTTATGGACCAAGTCTGGTAAAAGGACAGACTCATTATCTATCAAGTTTCGAAGATGGAAACTACGGGATTTATCGGATATTAAAAAACTCAAAGGGGGAGCTGAACTGAACCATAAAAGAATATGACAGAGAAAGGAAAAGCATAGTAGGTACAGCATCAAGGATCTTAAATGTGCCCTCTACTGAAGTTTAGGGAGATATATGAAACCTAGAAGAGATTCCAGCAAAATATCTGGTCAATTCTAAATTTGTGATTAGAGAACTACAAAAATTGGCTTAAGTCATTTATGCAACCTATCCTAAGAAGCTTCACAAAAAATAAGCTTAAAAGCCATCCCCTAGTAATCTCAAAGAGGCAAAAGATGATACACAGGTCATCTGATAAAACAGATCTCCCTGTCTGTCTGTCTCTACCCTTCGACTCCACACTTCCCCCTTCCTTTCACCAGAAGAATCAACTTCAAGAACATCCAAACAAAAGCATGTACATGATATAAGCTTTAAAAAGAAGAAAGAGAAATATTTGTTATTGTAAATATAGCAGAATGTGGTATGTCAATGATACTATCCATTTGAGGAAAAAAAATAAAATTATCTGGGTTACTATAATGTTTTGGCTCGCTCAGGTCCAAGGATTGCAGATGACTCCACTTTTTAGACCATAAAAGCTTTTCTCGAGATGCTGTATAATTGTTGGCATCATTGCACAAAGCCGTGTCTTCTTTAGGTGTTAAACTAGTTGGTTCCACAATCCTGGGTCATAAAGGAAAGAAAAGACTTCCTTTAACATCAAACATAACCTGCTTTCCTCTTAATCAACTTTTTCCATGTACTTCCCAGCTAAGCAGTGTTCTCATCTGATTCTCACTTTAACTCTTCCCCGACGTTGAATCTCTTTAGAGTTCTACCTTATCAATATTACAGTTGTAGGAATTCTAACAACTTATAGACCACAAGAGAAATAGCAATTAAGAAAATGAACATGACGTTATGAGTGTAACATGTGGTAAGGAGAAAAAGAAAATAGTGCATATGAAATATTAACAGACACAAAACAAGAAACCCATTACTCGTTACTTCACACATAAGCAAAAAAATAACACTAAGATATGCCATCAAGCATGAGTGCATGACTTGGATATCTACCCTCTCCCCCTAAAGAAAGTCAACTTCCACTATGGAATACCAAAACACTCATCTCTATAAAGCCTAACAGCACACTAAAAAACTACTACAAGATAGACCAAACACCTCAGCCAACCAGGTTTAAAGATACCCTGCTTCCACATAAAACAAGAACAACAACTACGCCTCAATCCCTAGCAAGTTAGGGTCCGCTATATGAGTATTTACTTACAACATTGCTTCATTAAAGCACATCTTAGACCCATACTATACAAAAATAATAGTGGTAATATTTTATCACTCTCTTGATAAAATATGACCTTTAAAAACATGTCAATTTGAGCCACATCAAATTTATGCAACCAAAATGTATATCAGGGCCTCCCCAAGAAATGAACATCTTCCCTCAATGATTTTATTGTAGCCACAAAACAAACATATGTATGCTTGATCTAATTGTTATTACATCATATCTCTCAATATGACAAATAGCATCTTCAATTGCATCGATTCCATCCCACAAATACAAAACAAGTTGATTTCGATCATCAAAACTTAACTCGTGTCGGATTGGAGTTTTATCACACACACCAATAGTATTCAACAGAGAACAACAACAAAAGGAACCCAAACATTTGCACTAAATTGTAATGCGGAGATAGAAAAGACTAACTAAACTCAACCAAAAAATATAGAAATAATCAAAATTCAATTCAGCAACCCATGAATACACAAGCTTCAATTGCATCAATTACATCCCAAATATCAAACATATTGATTTCGATCATCAAAACTTAAGAGAAGCTTATCATTACTTCTTTATAGAACCCGTGAACATCACTGTACTACCAATCTCGTGCATGATTGTACCTTTTCCGCACACACCAGCAGGATTCAAGAGTTAACAACAATAAAATAAACCCAAGCACTTGCACTAAATGGTAATGCAGACATAGAAATAGCAGTAACAAAAACAATCGAAACTCAATTTAGCATCCATGTATGCACAATCTACTAATAAAGTCACAAAACTATAGCTAAAAATCACACGAAACAAAAAAAAAGGTTACCTCTTTATCATCAGTGACCTTGAGAACCAATTTACCATCAGAATGTCTGTATTTCATCACATAGCGAGTCTACAAACAAAAAAATACCATCAATACATGAATTTATACGAAAAAATAAATGTTGAACTCATCGGAGTCGAACAACACTTACTTTCTCGGGATCGGCGCGAAACAACTGTACGGATCTCTCAACGAAATCATCCCAGGAAGTGATATACACCATTCTTCTTCTCTATGTATCTGCTATATATAAATATATGTATATATAACTGCTAATCGAGCGTTTTCTCGGTGACTGTTGACGACGCCGGAGCTAAATTCAGTGACCGGCCGGCGAGGTTTTCAAGTTTTGCTGCTCAGGGGTTTGAAAAGTCTTTTATTGGTATGTTTAGAGTCGCTTGAGCAAAAGGGGAATTGAGATGTTAATGGGCCCTAAATAACGGGTCCCGACCCGTATTGGCCCGTGTAGTGTATGGGTTGATTTCCTTTCCGAATCGGGTCATTAGCACGTTGGCCCCTAAGCACGAGACATAAGTTCATATTTTCGCATCATAATATATAAAGTTATAACTTGCTCTACATAAATTCAATTGCTAATGACAACAACTAAAGATCAACCTATTCGAACGACAAATTGTACCAATTAATAAATCTCACTACGATGAATAATTAGATTGCAACATGTATATTTTTGTGATAAAACTATAACTCCTTTTGTTAATAAATCACCGTCGATAGAAATTTATGTATTCTACAACCCCTTATTCGTATCTAGCTACTGACTATGGTACACAACTGTCATTCTATGGTTTCATGATGCTATAAGAATTTTGAGAAAGGATACATCAGTACAAACAATAATTTATTTTATTTTTTTTGGTCATAAAGGAAGTACAAACAATAATTTGCAAGTTACATAAGTTGCCAATACTTAAAAATAAGTTCTGTAAAATTATTCCCACAATAATAAAACCATATAGTACTGTACAAAAATTACAACATGCTAGTCTCTCTTCATACTTTTTCCATAGTTCTTGTATCTTTAGGAACCTATGGTATTTGTTTTTTTCGATGACTGAGAAATCTATCTGGAGCAAACCCTTTGGGAAAACCGCAACCTTCAAAACTCGGGAATGATGGACAACCCCATGGCACGAAATTAACAAGGACTAACTTGTAGATACAAAGCAACCTCATCCAATTATGTTGCAAAAGAATTCTCTATTGACACAATTTACTAACCATTGCATACACGAGGTGACATATCGATAGCTCATCTACATTTCTGCTGGAAAAAAGAAGGAACTTATGTGATTTATGTGCCAAGTAAATGAGGATTCGAACTACAAAGTAATGATGATCCTTACAGGAGCTCCAGTTGCCACTTTCAAGAAGATGCGTTTTTCTCTTCTTCGAGTATGGCAGCCTCTCTAAGTGCGATTTGTGCCTCGTTTTCCCTTCCCAATGTGAAAAGAGAAGCAGCTTGCAGATATGATGCAATATGCCAAACAGGAGATATCACTTGTGCTTGTACTGTATCATTGAGAGCTTCTTGTGGCATATCACTCATGAGATAAGACAGACTACGACGAACGAACACAGTTGGTGAGGCCATGGTTCCAACATCAATAAACTACAAGAGCAAGCAAAGTAATAAATAAGGAAATAGTTCAAAAATAGAATAAATCAATGCACGGTAGTGTGTAGCATAAACATTCATGACAGATTACCAGTTACGCCAAGGCTTCCTTTCGGAAAGGGGGAAGCCAGATAGTTTATGAAAATACATGTCGGTTTAGAAGAGGACGGTGGATTTCTAACCTGCGTATAGCATTCAATGGCAGCACTAAAATCTTTGTTCTTGAAAGAAGCATCACCCTTTTTCTTTGAGTTCAACGTTTCCAGCATCTGATCTGTCCACATCTGAAACGAAAGCTGCAAGAAAGAAAAAAAGGTGTTGATATCATGAGATGCTTATAAAATTGGCTTTCAAAGACATAAACTGGATATGATTACAATATGAATGAGCAATAAGTTGAAACACATGAGTCACGTGCATGACGCAGAACCGGACAAAAAGTGTTCACATGGAACAGGTTATAGAAGTTCAAAAACATGCATATACAAACACCAGAAAGATAAATTATTGATAGACGAACCTCAGTAGCTGCTCCCCCATCATCTTTGTATCCAAGTGCTTCTAAGATCTCATGGATAGCAGTCAAGTCCGTTTTCAAACAAGCTTCACCAAGTGGAGATAGAGGCATAGTTTCGCCATCAGATGATATACCCATTAATACATGAGAGGGAACCTGAAAAACAAGTTACTAAAACTTCAAACCAGCTAATTATGTCATGTAATAGATGATTTCTGCCATTTTACTATAAGCAAAATCAAGTTAATGGTGCCGAGGAAGGTATGCTTCTTCATGTGGCTAGCTACTTGAGGGGTGATTTTAATGGTGGAGAATATTAGGAAACGAGAGGTTGTCTGCTTGAGCTGGTGTTTCCATTGTAAGGAGGCGGGTGAGGATGTGGACCATATTTTGTTACATTGCAAATTAGCCACGAGGTTATGGAAGGATATTTTATGGTTCGGCATTTCTTGGGTAATGCCAAAATCCATGAAGGAGTTGACGTTCAGCTGGAAGGGTGGAGCTAGGAGAAGAAGGCCCAAGGCTTGGAATGTTACTCCTCTTGCTTTAATGTGGGTCATTTGGAAATAGAGAAATAAGTGAGCTTTTGAAGGGGTGGAGATGAGCTTTGCTCATTTGAGTAGTAGTCACTAGTGTCCGATCTCTTATTTTCTACTGGTGCACCCTGTAGTTCATGTGTGGAGGATTGGGTGTCTTTTGGAAAGAACCATTCTCTCTAGGTTTCTCCTCTTTTTTTTTTGAGAATGAGGTTTCTCCTCTTTTTGGTATACCACTTGTAAATGGTATGAGAAAGAATAAAAAAGTTCTCCACTTGTCATCCCCATTGACTATGTTTCTCCATTTAAATTCAGCTCAGGCAACATAATGCATAGAAATTTCAGATCTATAAAAATCTTGAAGCTAATAATTGATATTAGACCATATATGAAAAGCACAAACCTCAGCTTCTTTTTGAAGAGGATATAATGCAGAAATTAATGACTTCAGATTCGGCCGCTCACGAGGCTCATATTGGAGACATCTCGAAGCAATCCGTACCAATTCAGTTCCGTCATCAGTAGAAAATTGACCTTCCAAGCAAGAATCAGTTAGCATCTCAAGATTCCGGTCTTTTATCAGATCCAGTGCCTGACATAAGTAGATACATAGTGCTTTCAGTATTCTGCAAGCATCTTAAGTGAAAATGGACGCCACCCCAACCCTTCTTTAATTTGATGTCTGACTTTAACAATGTTGGCAAGCTTTTTGTAGATTCATGTTTAACTTCTCATCTGTCATTTTCTCGAAGACAGAACAACTAAAAATATGACCACTTATTCTCTGAACAATGATTCTTATTGTTCCAGTAAGATTCTAAGAATCAGTACTAAGTTCAACAAGCTAGATCACTGAAGAAGAGGAGGGCAGTACTAGGAAATTAGAACAAAGAATTAGATGCAAGTCTTTTAGACAGCGATTGAATAATATTTCTTGTAGGAACATACTCAGAAAGCCCAAAAAGTGGCAGCATTTCCTGTTTATTTTCGCAACGTATTGCAATCGTTGTCTGTATTAAACGGGACAGGCCAAGTGTCAAAGGCAATGTCAAACTATTTAGACTATCCCAAAAGCCAAGAAGTCAGTACCCTTGAGCCAGAACAAGGAATTATCATTTTTTGGTGATAAGAAGGATCATGTAGAGCTCACCCAAAGTGCAAATGACGCCTTGCGATTACAGTTGTCATTAAGTATGTAGCATATGATACCTTCAAACTCAAAACTTGAGTTGGATCGAAAAGAATTGATAATCTATTTATGTAGCCACAGAAAGATATCGAAGAGAAACTAGAAAGAATGTACGACTCATTGTCATGTCCTCTAGTCACAATAAAGTGCGAGCTATATGGTTGTAAGGAGCATTTAACTAAGAAAGGAAATAAATTTTTCAGGAAAACCATACATGGCTAGGAGGGATGTGCTTTCCACTGAGAAGGTCAATCAAAAGTGTCCCAAAGCTAAATATCACACTCTCTGGGGTGATTCTACCTGCAAAAAAATTCAAAAGAACTGAGCGAACTAAAACAATTTCAATAATACAAGAAATATAAATGTAGTTAACACCATGAATTCAATGAAGCCTACACATTGAATGGATTGCAACAAAATCCTACAAGGCTACACCAATGCTATAACAGTCAAAGTGGCTACTTTCTTTTTATCAAGTCAAAGTAGCTCATAGAAAACATTCCCCTTTAATATTGTAATATTAGAAAGTGCCTTAAGATGGCTGTGTTTGTTTATTAGGATAGTTCTTACCTGTCCTCAAATATTCAGGAGGAGTAAATGCCAAGTTTGTGCTGTAACTTTTTCCATCTCGACTGTTCTTCATCAAACCAAAGCAAGAGAGTCGGGGATCACCATCCTGTGAAATAGACGGAGGAGACCATTAAAGGCATTTAAGTACTTGAATTGCAAAATATAACTATACCAATGAAAAGACTGAAGATGTAACTATCTACTTACTTCTCCGAATAATATTCTATAAGCATTAAGATCATGATAAAGAGCACGTCCTTTGCCAGTACAATATTCAAGAGCCTGTGCAATATACAATGCCACCCTTAACCGCATTGCCCACTTCATTGGTTGTGTGTCCCCTGAGTTAAGCTCTCACAAATAAGTACTGAATTCTATGAATCACTATCGAAGAAATATGTTATCTTTCTAAGTAAATTCATGATTTTTCAGTCTTCCTTAAAGCAGTTAAATCAAATAGGGATCCAATCTCATTTTCCGCTAAGCTGATGGTCAGTATAATGTAAACTCTGTATAAAGAACTTTGTGTATGGATTTGCTAGCAAACACTCACAATCTCTTTTTTTTTTTTTTTTGATGAAGAAACACTCACAATCTCATTTCTGATACGCAAATATATCTGAGAACAGAATTAGAAACCTAGGCTTTGTTTGGGAAATCATTCTCTAAAATGGAACAGTGCATGAACCCAAGGTTCCGCAATTCTAGTATTCAACATTTATATTTGTAAAGATATGGCACATGGGCCTAACTCAACCCCAAAAACTAGCTCATGAGCGGAGGATTGCCCAAGTCCATATAAGGAGGCCATCTGTACATCCCCCCCCCCCCAAAACCAATGTAGGGAATAAATAGAGAAGGTGAAGAAAATTAAAACAATTAAACAACCAGTATCTGCAACTCGCAAGCGACTAAATCTGAATTAGTTTCACTCTAGGCCCACCTTGGAGTGAAACCAGTCCAGAGGTGGAAAACAAAAGAATCAATGTGAATGCACTTACAATGAAAAAGATGTTTTGCAAGCGTCTCTTTGGGCATGAATTCTGCAACTAGCAACCTCTCATCACCCTCACAACAACAGCCAAGAAGATTTGCTAACCTATTGTTGCGGAGTAGACCAACAGCCCTTGCTTCTTCCTGAAGTTTTGATATGAAGAGAGAAAATCAAGTCCGAATCTATTGCTTAACCACAATCTACTGAGGAGTTAAGTATTTGTCAGCAGGTAAATCACAAGTTAACTAAAAGCTACAAAATGCATTCACAAGAGTGCGACCACTACAGAAGCAGCGAAAATCTTAGGCATGAATTCATTTCTCTGTTTCCATTTTGTTGTTGATGCATCAGGTACAAAATATAAGGAGTAACTAAAAAGTTTCTAAACTGGAATGATGCCAGCCAAATACTCAATAAGATCTCCAATTATTCTCATTACTTTTTTATTTTAAATTTTCTGTTCTTGTCGCGAATATCATCGACAACATTTAATATAAGAAAAGAAAAAGGAAATCATATCATTTTAGTAGATGGATATGGGGACGTCTTTTCCATAGAGTTGAAATATACCAAGGAATTAACAGACAAGCACTTACTAAAAATTGCCGGGAATCAGGCCATGCAGATCTGTTGAAGCGTTTAACAGCAACCTGCCTCTGGTTCTCTAGCTTTCCTTTATAAACAACATTTGGAGCTTTTTCACCATGTTCAGAAACTATATTCTCTACAGCAAATGCAGATGTAGCAATCCTGAGCTGCTCAAATGTAAACTCGCAGAATGCAGGTGAATCACTAACTTCATTTTTTTCCTCATCTACGAGAAGCATGAAAACAAATAAAATAATAATTATTAAACACTGCAGGAGGATGGTGATATAGAACATATTTCAATAAAAGATATACATACCAGGATTCTGAGCCTCATGAATGGGGCCACTCTCTCCAGTCCAGCAACACGAGGCAAGTTTAGAACTTTCACAGCCCATCACACTATCCAACAGATTTAAAGTCTTTAAAGATATAGTAGCTTGGAGTTTATAGCACAACCCGACAAATTACACTTTATGCGGCTTTAAGATCTGCATTTGGCTGCATTGAACCAAATTGTCAATTCAAGTGCATTTTTGTTCTTGAAAGGAATCTTTGTTATTGACACCAGAAAAAGACAGAATTCATCAAGTTTCAAAGAAATGCAACAAAATTGTCATTCATTAACAATTCCCTTGAACATAAACTAGTTGGAGTCGGCTATATAAATTGTCTATATCCATTTCTATCTACTCAGGCCAATCTTTTTTCGACAACACCATATGCATAATGTACATTTTACTGTGCTCCATCAGAAATCAAACTAATAGCATAAGCAGAATCAGCACAAGAAAGTACCTTTATTAACATATCAAAGCTGAGCGAACTGAAAATCCACGTAATAAATTCCAAAACACGAACTTTTTCTGCAAAGAAACCAAATTCTGCCCCCATCAAAAATCTTCCTTTTTCAACTGAATTAACAGAAAACTTCACCACCACCTGAACTCTATATAGGTCAACCCAAGTCAAAATTAAAGCTCAAGCTAAATGCATAAAAAATCTACCTAAAACACACAAACATAAAAACCCAAGTACATATATATACATGTATCTACATATAGCTCAAGAAACCATGAGAAAGGGCAACAAAAATGAAATCTTGATGCTTTCTTCAACCACATCAAGATTAAAACTTTAAGCTAAATGCACCAAAACTCACATACAAAAACACAAAAACAACAAGATCCCATATAGAAACTAACCCAATAAGTAATATATAGGTCAACCCAAGTCAAAATCAAAGCTCAAGCTAAATGCATACAGAATCCACCTAAAACACACACAACCATAAAAATCCATCTACACATACACATGTACCTACATACAGCTCAGTGAATTACATGAGAAAGAGCAATAAAAATGAAATCTTGATTCTTTCTTCAACCCACATCAAGATTAGAGCTTTAAGGTAAATGCACCAAACCCAACATACAGAAACAACAAGAACCCATATAGAAACTAACCCAATAAGTTATATATAGGTCAACAGGCAAATCAAAGCTCAAGCTAAATGCATACAAAATCCACCTAAAACACACAACCATAAAAAATAAAAAACCATCTACATATATACATATATCAACATACAGCTCAAGAAATACATGAGAAAGAGCATTAAAAATGAAATCTTGATTCTTTCTTCAACCCACATCAAGATTAAAACTTTAAGCTAAATGCACCAAAACCCACATACAAAACTCAAAAACAACAAGAACCCATATAGAAACTAACCCAAATAACAGCTCCTGCTGACAGTGGAGTAAATTCGTGATTCTTTGTTTAAATTAACTGTAGACACAAATGATCAATAAAGTGGAGAAGAAAGAGAAAGGAGTTAGTAGAAAGTGAGAATATACATATAAACAATTACAGAGTAGATGAGATGGAATGAAAAATGTGATTGTACAGATCCCTCTTTGGAGTACTAACACTAAAGCACAATTTTCGTGGCTCTTTCATGATTTTCCACCCTACATAAGCTTGTCCTTTTCCTATATTTAGGGACACCTAAGAACCATAATCATTTGTCTTTTTATAATTAAGAAAAAGTTGTCAGTATTTGACAAAATTAAAACTTGTCATACCACATAATTGATCAATTATGTCTCCTTACCTTCTTTCTTTTCAATTATTATTCAATAGTGAGTTTATTTCTTTTCCAATAAATTAATTTTTAATAATTTGCTTGTTATTTTTTATTTTTTCTCATAGAATAATGGTTAATCGATAATCATTTCGGAATGCATAATTAGATAGTACTTGTGCATCGAGCTAAAGATGAACGGGGCCTAAGTAATTTGTTGAAACTAGAAAATGTAAAAATACTTCAGTAGATTCATCAATTGAATCGAATTTGAAGGGAAATCTTGCTTGTTTAATATTACTAATATATTACTATAGAAAAATTTTGTTTGTTGAGATTATTACAAGTTTAAATAGTTGAATCTCATGCTTCTATTAATTTTTAGGGTGATTCAAACTCCAACATAAACATGTACGTTGATCATATAATTAACTCTAGTGATTCACATTATTTAAAGATGTCACTTAAGTTCTCCAAATGAAACTACTCACTCTATCATAATTTATATGTCACATTTTGTTTTAATATGAGAATAGTTGCAACTTGTTATTTTTGAATATTTAATTTTTTAAATAAATATCGAGTTGATCTAGTCTAATTTAGCTTCAAAGATTAGTCAACTTGACTCTCGAAAAGCGAAAGTTGCACATATATTGAGTTGATCTAATTTAATTTAGCTTTAAGGATTAATCAACATGACTCTTGAGAAACGAAGAGTGTCATATACATTGAGTTGATCTAATCAAATTCAGCTTCAAAGATTAGTCAACGTAACTCTCGAGAAACTAAGAGTGCCACACATATTTAGTTGATCTAATCAATTTAACTTCAAAGATTAGACTTGACTTTCAAAAAGCGAAAAGTGTCACGGAGACATGAGAATATAGCTTACCATGTTCAATTTCCAAGTATATATGCAATATTAACATCATCAATACTCAATAGGATGAACCAAGTTTATTTTCATACCTAGGTCACTTGACACACCATGATTGACTTGACCAACTCACTTGAAAAATCCAATTCCAATCACAACAAAATTTACTCACTAACTACTGAGACCTATACTAAAAATCACAAAAGGAATAACTTATGAAACTATGAAATCCATCTCATCTTATATAAGAGAATAAATGAATGTCAACAAGGAAATAAATTAACAAGAATAATACTGATTCTTGAATATATTACAAGCTTTTCATTTGCTGCCATAGTTTTAAACTAAAGAGCTGGAGTGGAATGTCTTCTCTTTCCTACGATTTCACAGCAGCAGAAATATCCTCATTTGTGTTGCATTCTTCAATTCCTTCAGAATTCATTTCTGAACATATAATCTGTGTCTCTTCCAATCTTCCTTCCTCTCGAAGGCCAGATAATAACTCACCACAAATATTGGCTACTGGGATAAGACCGTTGTCAACCATCTCTCTGTACCAAATGTATGCACCGGAAAAATCTTTAAGTTTGCAATGCCCTTCAACCAAAATATTATAAGTTTCATCATTCGGAATGATACTGTTAGCCTTCATCTGATCAACAAGATTCTTGGCTTCTTGACATTTTCCCTCTTTCAAATGCACCATAATCAAGCTATTGTATGTCCTTTTGTCAGAAGGAATTCCTCGTTCCACCATCTCTCGGTGCATAGCAAGTGACTTTTGAACTTCTCCATGTAGAGCATAGCAATGGATGAGCTCGTTATATACAACTCGGTCAGGAGAAAGATCCATCTGAGACATTTCTTCAACAATTTTGTCAATTGACACCAGTCCATTCTTTCCCTTTTTAGACACTCTAATTAGAGGATGAATTGTGTTGATTGTAGGTTTTATGCCAGAGGTTTTCATCTTCTCATACATTTCATAACACTTTTCAGTGTCCCCTGCATCTGAATACCCAGAGATTAAAGAATTATATGTGATAACATCTGGAATGAAACCTTTGAGTTGAATATCCACAACCAACTCCTCAGCTTCTTTGGTCTTACCCTTTTTGCAAAGCCCATTTAATAGAGTATTGTATGTAACGAGTGTTGTTTCCGCATCACTTTGTAGCATCTTCTCCAAACATCTAAAAGCATCAGTCATCCTTCCTCTCATACAATGTCCATCTATAAGCATATTATAGACCTGCGCATTTGGTTTAACCCCTCTACTGATCATATCACTTAGGACTACATCAGCTTCAAGAAGCCTACCATCCTTGCACAAAGAATTGATTAGAGAACCATAGGTAATTACATTAGGATTCAATCCGTTATTTTCCATCTCCTCGAGAATCTCAAAACACCTCACGAATTCCCGCTTGCGCCCATATCCGTCAATTAAGATGTTATACGTCTGCACATTAGGGGAAACTGACTTCTCAAGCATTTTCCTTAACCACTCGTTTGCCTCTTCCATCATACCCAATTCACAGAATTTCGTGATCAGAGTATTAAATGTGACACAACTCGGCTTCACCCCAGAAATCTCCATTTCGTGAATAGTTAAATAAGCCTTCTCCATATTGCCCTCTTTGCAATAGCCACTCAAAATGGTATTAAACAACACATCTGTAGGAGTAAGCCCATTTCCCAGCATCTTCTTCAAAATTTCTGCAGCCTTATCCGTCTTCCCTTTCTTGCACAAGCCATTCAATAAAACACTACTCGTATACTCATTCAACTTCACCCCTGTCTTAACGACTTCTTCATACAACGCTAACGAGGAATTAACATCATCACATCGCGAAAGCCCATCGAAAAGTATACTAAAGGTAAACCCATCAGGTACAAATCCATAACCCTTCATTTCCTCCACTATACAATTAGCTTCATCCATCTTCCCCGACTTACAAACTCCACTAAGCAACGTATTAAACGTCACAATATTAGGCTCCACATTATCATTCTTCATCTTTTCCCTCAACTCAAAAGCCTCCTCTACGTTCCCCATCTTACAATAACCATCCATAAGAATATTATACGTCACCATACCCCGCGCCACTCTTCTCTCAAGCATTTCATCAAACAGTTTCCGTGCTTCCACAACTCTCTTCTCTTTACACAACCCACCCATCACTACATTATACACAAACTTATCCATACCCACCCTACCATTTCTCATACAATCCAAAAGCTCCAAAGCCTTACCCAAATCCCCAATTTTCACCGCCGACAGTATAGCTTTTCCATAACTAGTCTTATCAACCCTTATACCCCACTTCATTACATCAGAAAAAACTTCAAGGGTCTTTTTATACTTCCTTAAACTATTCAAAGATTCAAGAAACACATTGAGAGCTGATAAAGATGGAAACTTTTTATCTTCCCTTATCAATGAATAAAGCTCTTCAGCTTGGTTAATGAGTTTCGACTCTAAATACAGTGAAAATAGCAAATCTGAGAAAAGGGGTTTTGCAGGGGAAGGTGAAAAGAGAGAGTAAAGTTGAGAAACTGAACTTGTATGAATAAGGGTACCCAAAATTCCTTTTGCATTTTCCATACGACGTTGTTGAAATAGAATCCGGAGCTGCCGAAGCTGTTCTTCAAGATTTTGGGATGAAGAATTTGTGGGGTTTTCATTGTTGATTGAACTGAGTTCTTCTTGGTGTAGAAATGGAGTTGAACGGAAAAATTTGCAGGGAAAATGGTGATTACCGGTGCCGGCAAATTTGAAAGCACGATGGAGCTTAAGCATATTGACGGACTCACTGTGCAAATTCTTTGTGCTTGTTGAATGGAGTAGTTATAGTTTTGGAAAATATGTAGGTTCATTTGCTATTTACTATGGATTTGTAGGACTAAAAATTAAATTAAAAAATTGTGTTTTTGTCCCTTACTTTTGGATTTTGTTCACAAAGAGATATAGTTTGCTAATCGTTGCTAATCTTCCCCCACTTAGTTTTAAAAGTACTCCAAACTTCATATTGACGTTTCAACGAGGAGGTGTGAGAGGTAATGAAAAAGTATTTAGAAGATATGAGCTAGAAGAATTATTGAGAAGATGTGATTAGATAGAGACAAGTACTCAACTTATCGAGGATAAGAATTGGGCATGTCAAAAACAGATGCGTACATATGACTTAGTAAGGAGGTATGAAAACTTTACGATAAAGAGATAAGGTAGATCAAAAATTGAATTTGTTGTCATTCAACAATGCGACATAATAGAATGATAAAAGTTTATAGATATGATACCTATTTGTTGTCATTCATCAATTCGACTTAATAGGATGATAAAAGTTTATTCATGTTTAATACTTATAAAAATAGAAAATGGAATTTGGATAGTAGGAATAGAGTCTTCAATAGCAAACGTGATGATGTGATCGAACGTTGAAAGAGGGAAACTAGGGGTGCTACCTTCAAACTTGCCATAATACAACATATGAAGAAATATATATAATTTTATGGAGGTTTGTGAGTACTCCGTTATTTTAAAATTTCAATTAAATATATATTCAAATGCTTGTTGAATGCGTGAATACTACTAAGTAGTGGATACATTAGGGTTTTAAGTCGGATATCATATCAAATGAACATTGAGTCTAACGCAATCAAAAAAACTAGCACAAGAGGGGAAGATTGTCTAAGTCATCCATCCATCTCCCTCCCACATTCAGACACATCCGATAGACGATACTAAATGATTCACTTTCGAGATGTCTTGGTGGTGAGATAGTAGATACGTGAGACTCGAAATCTTATCTAAAGAGTGTAGAGGTTCTAATCCTCTTGAAGGCATAAATTGAGAATGAGAGAGCTCAGATCGAGTCGGTACTCAAATTGCAACAAAGATGCGTGAATAAATTGTTCAAGGCCCAACATCAAAAGTCCAACTCTGTTATCACATTAAATAAATCTTGAACATAACTCAATTTCGTAACAAGTATCTTATCTAAAGTAACAATAGGTAACATCCAAACAAACATTACTTTCAAATTCAATAGAGTCATCAACTTAATTAGACCGTAATAATATCTTAATCGTTATTACCCCAATCTAAGTAAGCATGATTATGATGCCTTTGTCTCCATCTTGGAGTACTAATATCCCATAGATAATTAAATTCCCATGTTATCTCTTTGTCTTTGTACTTATTTATGACTTAGCTTTCATATGCACATTTTTCTTTAACTATTTTGCTATTTAAAGTTCATTGATTCAACTAATTTAATTTACGTCAAATAAGTTCTTATCATGAAATTTTTTATTCTTTAAGCTAAATTTAATAATTTCTTGTATCTCTGACTTTCATACATAATAAACTTATCTTAATTATAATTTGACAAATTTGTATAACCTTATCTCTACAGTTTGATAAACTTGGCTCAACTAATTTATTTTTCATGAATAGGCCGACTAAGGAATAAAACATATTCTAACCATATTATAAATCATTTTAGTGCCCATAAACACATCAAAAACTTAATTTTTTTGGTTGAAAATAATTTAACGAAAATGGAAGATTATATTTTTTCTCATTTTAATGCAATTTTACTACTTATAGCTTTTATTTTTTCCTCAATTTTCATATGGAAAATTTTAAAACCTCAAAACCCCTTACCGCCGGAGATCTCCGGTGGCTGGCCGGTGATCGGTCATCTCCTCCAATTTTCCGGCGCCGACGACATCCCGTTATGTCGAAAACTAGCAACTTTAGCTGACAAATACGGTCCTGTTTTCACTTTCCGGCTAGGTCTACCATGTATACTAGTCGTCAGCAGTTACGACGCCGTTAAGGATTGCCTGAGCACCAACGATAAAGCCTTCGCCGCCCGGCCCGCGTCTTTAGCCGGTGAGTACATCGGGTATAACAACGCTATGCTTTTTCTAGCTAATTATGGTCCTTATTGGAGGAAAATTCGAAAAATTGTTCTTCAGGAAGTTCTCTCGAGTAGCAGGTTAGAAAAATTGAAATTTGTTAGGGTTTCTGAAATTCAAACAAGTATCAATGAGCTTTACTCTTTAATTTCAGTCGCCGGAGAAAATGTTGATTTTCCGGTAAAAGTTAATGTTACTAATTGGATAGAAAAGTTAACTTTGAGCTTGATAGTGAAAATGATAGCTGGAAAAAGCTATGGAAGGGTTGAAAAAGGGGGAAATGAAGAAGAAGCTGAGAGATTTAAGAAAGCTTTGAAGGATTTTATGTTTATTTCAATGGAGTTTGTGTTATGGGATGCATTTCCCATTGCTTTATTCAAATGGATTGATTTTCAAGGGCATGTGAAGTTTATGAAAAGGACTTTTAAAGATATTGATTGTGTTTTACAAAATTGGTTGGATGAACATTTGAAGAAGAAAGAAAGAGTTGATGTTGTTGATAGAAATGAACAAGATTTCATTGATGTTATGCTTTCTATGATGAGCAATGAAGATTTTGCAGATGGTCATAGTAAAGAAACCACCATTAAAGCTACTGCTCTGGTGAGTACGTCTCTTGATGCTATATATACATTGTTTTCTTGATATGTTGCTCGGACTCGTCAAAAATGTCATAGGTGCATGTCGGATCCTTCAAAAGAAATACATTTTTGAAGGATCTGACACGGATGTGGCAACATTATTGGAGAGTTCGAGCAACATAGACAACAAAATACCTAGTGTAGTTCCACAAGTGGGGTCTGGGGAGGGTAAGATATAAGCGGATCTTATCCCTACCTTTGAGGTAGAGAGGTTGTTTCCGATAGATTCGTGGTTTGGAAGATCATTGCTTTTCTTGAAATTGACTTAAAAGTTTATGAATATATTTTCTATGTATTGATAGTGAATATGTACACTATGAAAGTTATGAATGTTTATGAGATGCTTTGTGTGTATATGTTCATGATCATGGGCTATGTTGCTCGGACTCTTCAAAAATAATCGTTCGGTGTGTGTCGGATAACTTTGGAGGATCCGATATGAGTGAGGCGTCATTGTTGAAGAGTCTGAGCATCATCAAAAATAGGTAGGTGTTCAGTTGGTTTGCTCGATGCACAGTTAAGTCATTGGGTGTCAGTCACGTGCACCTATCAGCTTAGTTACAGCAACCGTTAACTCTTTATGTCAAGTCCGATATGGAGAAATTTTGTGTTCTGAATTGAATTGTGCAACCATTTAGCATGATCCCAACATAATGGATATATAATGGTGTAACTAGGAGCTGTCTATTAGGAGTACTTTGTTTAAGAAGATTGTTCTTTTGTTTGTCTGACTAGTCTTGTTTTTCTTAAACGGTTCTTTCTTCCACAGAGTATGGTGTTGGATGCTTCGGACACGACTGCTATTCACTTAAATTGGGTAATGGCTACATTGTTAAACCATAGGGATGTCATGAAGAAAGTCCAAGAAGAGCTTGACACAAAAGTTGGCAGAAACAGATGGGTAGAAGAGAGTGATATCAAGAATTTGGTATACTTCCAAGCTGTCGTTAAAGAAACGCTGCGATTATATCCGCCAGCACCTTTGTTAGTACCTCATGAATCAATAGAGGACTGCATTGTACAAGGATACCACATTCCGAAAGGTACAAGATTGTGGGTCAATACTATGAAACTGCAGCGAGATCCTAAAATTTGGTCGAATCCTGATACATTTGATCCAGAGAGATTCTTGACTAGTCAAGCAGGATGTGATGTTCGTGGTCAACAATATGAGTTCATCCCGTTTGGCTCTGGAAGACGATCTTGTCCAGGGATCACTTATGCAACTCAAGTGACACACCTTGCAATAGCTCATTTGCTCCAAGGTTTTGATTTTAGTACACCATCGAACGAGCCGTTGGATATGAAAGAAGGGCTAGGCATGACAATGCGCAAAGTAAATCCTATAGAAGTGATGATTACTCCTCGCTTTCCTTCTGTGCTCTATAAGTTCTAAGATGTAAAATGATCCACTTTTTTCTTTTTGTTATGTATGTACTTTGTGGATGTATATTGTATATTTGAAGAAATAATTTGAGTATAAAATCTCTTATTCCAATTAGCAAGCAAAAAGTGGTAATAAAATATCACTTGTCAAGTCTTATTGAGAAGAGGTAATAAGATAGGACTTCGACAAGTATTCAACTTATCGAGGATAAAAATTGAACATGTCAAAAGGAGATGCACATGAGAGATTTACAATGAAGACACAAGGTAGATTGAAAAAGTGTTAAGGAGATATAAAGTAGACGGAACAACTATTTGGAGAGAGGTGATCAAATAGAATTTGACAAGTCTTCAACTTGTCGAAGATAAAAATTGAACATGTCAAAATGAAATTGAAGAGGTATGAGAGATTTACAATGAAGAGGTAAGGTAGACTCAAAAAGTACTGAGAAAGAGATGAAACAAATCAAAATACTATTAGGAAGAGGTGGGACACTGGGGCTTATTGTTGGTTCCCTTCAGTTAGAGTGTACAGACTGTAAAACTATTAGGAGAGAAATGTGATTTTTTTTTCTTTTGTTTGTGAGGATTATTGTTCAAGTGATATACGAGATTTAGAATTTTATTTATTTTTGACGTGTGAGATTTATTTATCATCTTTTGTATGCTCAAAAAATTTATTTACATGTTTTTAATATTGGATGCGTGAATAGTCTACTCGGGACCTCAACAATAGGGGCTTGATTGTGATAACACGTTAAATGAATGTTGAGTCTAACTCAACTTTAAAATAGCTCAAGAGCAAAGAATTGCTATCCATCTCCGATGTTGTTGGGTTCTTCAATTCTTCATTCATCTCTCCATCCACATCTAATTCATCTAGATACATTCAATATTGGATGATTCACTTTCAAGATGTCTTGACGGTGAAATGGTAGACAAGCAAAACTCAAAATCTCGTGCTAAAGAGTGTGGTGGTTCAAGTCCTCTTCACCAGTGTTCCATCCAATCCTTCAAGTCTTTTTCCAACAATAAAAGCATGCACCTTGTCTTGAATTTGAACCCAACTACATCCAGGGTTTTTCTTCACTCCCCTCAGCTTCATCAACTCTCTTATACTATCAGCTTCACCCCACCGCCCTGCTTCAGCGTACATGTTTGAGAGAAGAGCATAGTATCCAGGATGATGCGGCTGCAGCTTAAATAAGTGCTCAGCTGCCCAAGAACCTAAGTCCACATTTCCATTGAGACGGCATGCTCCAAGGAGCGCAGCCCAAACATTGGAATCTGGTTCAAATGGTAGATGAGTGATAAGATTAATGGTCTCATCCATAAGCCCAGAACGACCAAGAAGATCAACCATGCAAGCGTAGTGCATCTGTGATGGCTCAATGTTACGAGCAAGCATGTCGTTAAAGTATTTCTTTCCTTTATCAACTAATCCCCCATGACTACATGCTGATAGAACTGCAATATAGGAGACAGAATCGTGTTCAACACCATCCTCTCGCGTGGTTTCAAACATATCAATTGCAGTATGTATATCACCAAGCATCCCATACCCTAAAATCATAGTATTCCATGATGCTACATCCCTGTTCTCAATCCTATCAAAAACCTTTTGAGAAAGATCAATCCGTCCACATTTGGTATACAAATCCAAGAAAGAATTTGAGACAAACAGATGTTCATGAAACATTCTTCTAACCGCAAATGCATGGATTTCCTTTCCTTGTTTAATCGCAGAAATAGTTGCACAAGCTGAGAGAACACCAACAAAGGAAACAGTATCGTGCTTCATCCCAGTCGGCACCATTTCAGAGAACAGTACAAGAGACTTTGAGCAATGACTTGTCTGTGAATAACCAACAATGAGTATATTATAAGATACTTCATCTCTAAGAGACATGTCAAACACATTTTGTGCCAGATTTAGACAACCACATTTTGCATACATATCGGTTATAGCATTTGAGACGAAGAGATCAATGACAGACCCATTCCTTATTGACCTGGCATGTATCTCCTTTCCTGAACGAAGACAACCAATTCGTGCACATGCAGGAAGAACATTTGTCAGTGTAACAGATGTTGGAGTTTCATCGCTAGATTGCATTTCCCTGACAAGTCCTATAGCCTCAAACTCAAGCCCATTCTGAGCAAAATTTGCAACCATTGTATTCCACGACACAACATTTCTTGAACACATTTTGTGGAACACAGCAGATGCTTCAGCCGAATGCTCTGATTTTGCATACATATCAATCAAGGCGTTGGCAACAAATACATCACACTCTAAACCTGTTCTTAGACAAAAACCATGAACTTCTCTTCCCTTGTTAAACTTTCCAAGTTCAACCAAGACAGGTAACAAACTTGAAACTGTAGTCGAATTTACATTCCAACCTCCATCAATCATAAACCTAAAACTTTCCAAAGCATGGTTATTAAACCCATTATGAGCAAAGGTACCAATCATTGCATTCCAAGAAACCTCATTCCTTTCAACCATCTCATCAAAAACTTGTCTTGACGACTCAATATTCAAGCACTTCCCATATGCATCAACGAATGCATTCCCAATAGCCACTTGACAATCCAAACCCACTTTAATCCCATAACAATGAATCTCACTAACCATTACCCCATCTTCCAGCACAGCACAAACAGGCAATACACTCACAACACTTACCACATTCGGCTTAAACTCAAACCACATAATCATCTCCCTAAACACCCCAACACCTTCAAAATAACACCTATTATCAGAGAACACCCGAATCATACTATTCCACGAAACCAAATCCCTTTCAAACATTTCATCAAACACCTTCCACGCACCCACCAAATCACTAAAACTCCCATAAAACAACAACAATGTATTATTCACAAACACATCATAATCAAAACCCAATTTCATCAAACACCCATGAACCTCCAACCCTTTTCGAACCTCACCAAAATCAGTACAAAGCTTAATCACAAAAGGGAAAGTATGATCATCTGGCTCAACCCCACTTCTCAACATCCCATTATAGACCTCAACAACACCCACAACACCCAAAATCGTCTGAGCTCGAATAAGGGTATTGTATAGAAACGCCGAACGGGAAAAAGGGAGACTTTGGTTGAACATTGTCCGTACGATTCTTGGGTCTGATGAAAAAGCCGCGTAACGGAGGATGAGAGCTGCGGAGATGGAAATGCTGAACGGAAGAAAGCCATTGATGATGGAAAAAGCGTGAGCTTGTTGGGTTTGAAGAAGAGATTTGGTCGTTGAGCAGAAATTGAGGAGATTTGTTGGGTTTTTTTTAGAGGATTTTGATGATTCAGTGAGAGTTTGTAGAGATTTTGTGAAGACAAGAAGAGGAGAAGAAGCTATACGAAAAATTCGAACATGGTGGAACATTAGGTGTAAAGGAAACTAAAGAAGACTCATTCATATGAATATATGACTTTAGGTTATATATTTACGAGTTAATAGTCGAAAACACACCTTTTTGCAGCCCCAAATACCAACAGCCCCAAACACACCTGCTTTCACTTTGCAGCCCCAAATACCAACAGCCCTTCCTCTTCACGGCATACTTCCCACAAAAATGCTTGCTGTGCTGAGTACTGAGTGCTGACTGGCCAGCCTTCTTGGTCCTCTTAGCCCCATAAGGAAGCAAAAAGGGTTGAAGAAGACTACCTAGCAGCGGCAACAAACCCTGTCTTTCAAGAATAAGGGATTACTTCTATTGTTGGAATTTCATCCCCAAATAGGTAAAAATCGAATCTTTATCCACTTTTACGTGTTTCTTTGAGCTTGTGAACTTGCTTTAGCATTTAAAGTTAGCATCTTTTGGTTGATTTCTTATTGTATTTGAAAAAGAAAAAAAACTCATTCTTTATCCACTTTATATGAGTTTAGAGTTAATTCTGATAATGGAGCCCCCCACCCAAACAATTCCTCCTTCCCAATTTGTGGTGTTCGGGTGAGGCCTAGTGGTTAATGAAGAGACTTGAGCATACGAGGTCTCAGGTTCTAATCTGAGCATAGACAAACACTAGGTGATTGTTTTCATGTGCTTTAGCTTGGTGGATAGAGTTACCTTGTACCTGGTACTTGTTGCTAGTGGGAGGTGGTAGGTATCCCGTAGAACTAGTCAAGGTGTGCGGAAGTGGGTTCGGACACCATGGCTATTGAAAAGAAATTGTTTTCGGTGTACAGCTTCTGGAAAAGATTTATCTTATCTTGCTTTTTAGGCATTTCAAGGTTCAGTCTTTTCAATTAGGAGTAGTACTTCTCACTTAGTCTTGGATCAAAACTGACCCACTTTTGCTAACATAAAGGATTATCAAGGTTCAGGAGTATATAAAACTTTGCGAGTTTTTCTCCTACTTGAGCCTAAGAGTGTGTTCTAGAAAAGGGTATAAATTAGTATTAACTCGTGATCGTTATACTAAGCATAATGCTGGTAGTTATCCTCCACTGCTGGTAGATATTTTGGGGAGAGTGTACTTTTGAATTATTGCTAATGAGTGGTTAATTCATCAAATGAAATGAGCTTAAATGAAAGTGGGGATTCATATAGCGGACCCCAACTTGTTTGGGATTGAGGAGTAGAGTAGCATTAGTAGTAGTTGTAGTGGTTGATTTGTATGCATGTCTAATGATTTATGGAAATAAAAATACTTTGCTTCGACTTGGGATTTTGGGGAAAATGCTAATCCATCTATGCACCGACCCAGCTTTTTTTTTTTTCTTTCAGGAATGACATTAAAGGGCAGTTTAGTTCAAAAGATAGGTAATGCAATTATGGAAGTCGCAAGGAACAAAGGCTCAACATGGTGGTACACACCTCACATGGCTGCAGCATCTCGTGCCATAACCGAACGGATCCCATTGGTTGATATTCTTCTTGAAGTCAGAGATGCTCGGGTATGTATAAACCCTATCCTTCATGGATCTTTTCCTTTAAATTGTTGCCCGGTATATGTTTGATTAAACGTCAGAACAAGCTTGCTAGTATTACTCCGTAAAACATTTTGTTTTTTGTGATGTGGTCTTTGAATAATATATTATGTTTGTGAATAAGTTATTTATTCTCTTAGACATATGTCCTCTTGTCAACAAGTGTTGACCTCGTATGAATCCATCCTGCATGATCTGTACATATCAATTAATGGAAAATTGGGAAGTTCGGCTTTGTGTAGTGTGGTTTGTCGGTTGGAGTTTAGCAGATCAAGAAGTATGCACCAGTTCTGTGATAGACCATTACTTTTGGCCTCTTTTGGTAGATAATTTGCTTTTACCAGCTATTCGTTATCATCCAAGGCCTTTTTCTATGTTGATTTGAAGTATCAAAACAAACATAAGAAAACAAATACACAAGTGTATATAGAATGAGCATAAAGAGATAAAAAAGGACAAGTAACATCATTGCTTGATATATTGTCAAGTTCCTAAAGGTTTTCCGAGTAGTTCAGGCATATTAGTAGAAACCTGAAGGCTCAAGGCTTGAACCCCAGCTACAACACTCGTGGTGAGCCCATCTATTCCATCCTTGATGGATTGGATTACTCAGCACCTGTGCTTGTGGATTTTAGCTGACTGCTTGGCGTATTTAGTAGAAGATTATGCAAGTTGGCTCAAACACCACCACCAGTTCACCACAAGAATAACAACCCAGTGTAATCTCACAAGTGGGGTCTGGGGAGGGTGGTGTATAGTGTGTACGCAAACCTTACCCCTACCTTATGAAGGCCTCAAACACCACTATCATGTATAAAATTGAAAAGTTGGCAAAATTGTCAATGGCATTCATGGCGAGTGTTTCGTTAAGGACTCAGTTATAATTCGATATATGTTCAATCATGTTCCAGTTCGTTTGTTTACGAGGATATGCTTGTATATCTATCCTCTAATTATTTATTCTTATTTTTCCCCTTTGGCTTTTCTCAGATTCCTTTATCATCAGCATGTGAGCTAATTAAGCATCATTCGCCTTCCTCGAGGCGCATTATTATTCTGAACAAGACAGATTTAGCAAATCAAATTCAATTGAAGGTGATGTGTTGCTCTTCACTTTCTTAGTGAGCTGGCTTCTGCTTCTCTTGACAATTATTCATCTAGCTGATTCCTCAATACCCCCTTCTCTAGCCACACCTTTATCTGATAATGAGCAGCATACATGATAGCTTTTTGTTGTTAGGCATTACTTCCAGTCCCAAATTATTGCAGATTTTGTCATATATCATTTTTGGTTGCTTCTGTTTACATGTACAGATATTTACATTTGTTTCCTGCAGGAATGGCTGAAATACTTTGAGGAACAAAAGTGTCTTGTTTTTGGAGTCAATTCCCATAATAAGGATAACATCAAAGAGGTAATCATCTGAAAGTTTTCTGCAGTTGATCATGTTCTAATTTGCAAATTGTTCTAATGTAGCAACACTTGTTGGTTTGAACTTTGATGTCATGTTGGTAAATTGTTGTTCTCAACATATATTACACATAGATCAAAAGGTACATAGAGGGGGACTTAAGCCTGCATAGAGTTGAACTTTAATGTTAACATATGAGGTCAATGATCTAACAGGCCAAGTTTTAGTATAAGTACTATACCCCAATGATGCTATGTTTCATTAAGGGCAGTACGGTGCACAAAGCATCCCGCGTTCATATGGGGTCCGGGGAAGGGCCCAGACCTCAAGGGTTGTGATGTAGACAATCTACCCTAATGAAGGGTTACTGGCTGCTTCGATGGCTTGAACCCGTGACATATAGGTCACATGGAGACAATTCCAACGCCCCCCTTCATAAATTATATATATTATCACACCAAGTTCTCTAGCTTGCATTGAGTTCATAAGGCCTTTCGGTTGATGGTGCACCCAAAATGCTTGCGTCCATTTGAGTATGTTTATCCATCTGACTAATATTGTAGGGTTGACATTGATATTCTACTAACGAAAAAGGTGTATGTCTTGATGTTCATCACTAGTTAATCCGAAGACCTTTTATTTCACATGTGATGCTCATTTGCATCAGATATAAATCTTGACATGTTGCAGACTTGCAGTTACTGAACTTTCTGCGAGCCAGAGTTCGAGAATTACCAAAGATTGGTCATGGGGATCAGACAATTACATTAATGCTTGTCGGCATTCCTAATGTTGGGAAGTCTGCCCTTGCCAACTCATTGCATCAAATTGGAAGGATCAGTGCAGCAGGTACATCAACTTTTAGTACAAACTGTTAGTTGTTAAGTTCTTGTAGCTGTTTTCTCGTGTTTTTAAAATACTCTCTCTAGAGTATAGAACATATCTAAACCAAACATCCTGAAACATTCTTTGTTTTGTAGAGAAAGGAAGATTAAAGCATGCCATAGTGAGTCCTCATCCAGGAGAGACAAAAAATATTAGTGGCTTGAAGGTATTTATTTCTTTTTTGTAGAAACACAGTTTTTTTTCTTTCAACCAGGCAAGTTGTGAACTAGAAGGTTAGGGATTTTTTGCATAGTACCTGGGCTTTATTTTCAGCTTACGGGGTTATAGCTTTCCTGTTCTCTATTTGATTTTTGTTTTTGTGTAGTCATACCTTGATGAAACTACTTTTACAAAATCAGATCGCAAGCCATCCTAGTATTTATGTGTTAGACACCCCTGGTGTTTTCCCGGCTGAGATTCTTGATGCAGAGGTGTGCTCCAATCTAGCTTTAACAGGTACAATTTCCAAAACATTATCTTCCGCCAACTTTTTTTTATTTTCATCAGAACATAGTCACAAATTACAATTCTCTCACAGCTCCTGCTCCTCTTGTTAACTGAAGGAAAAAAAGAAGGAATGATAGACATTAATTGGGAAAACACTGTACACAAAGAGAAAGTACCATGACAAGTGAGGAAGTGGAAAATGCGGAAGTGAGCTACCAACTGATAGATATTCTATGTTCCTTTATTCTAAATGCAGGTGCTATCAGAGATTGCTTGGTCGGGGAAGTGGATCTTGCGGAATATTTTCTATCCATCTTTAACTTGAGTGCTGAATATAAGAAATGGGCCAACTTGTCATTATCAGGCGCTGATGATTGTTCTGAGTTAGAGAGAAGACAGAAGAGACAATATTTAACAGATCACACACAGGTAAGCAGTTTGACAGGAAATGTATTATAACGTCTTTCTTTCCTCTTCGCTATATGCAAATCACAAGCTCCATTGCATACTAAGTACCAACTGTATGTCAAGCTCGAGTTGAATTTGCTTATGTCCTGCATTTCGAATAATAAGCTCAACAATCATTTGTTATTGCGCCTTTACAATAGACTTTTGTTTTCCCGAAACCAGTTGAATTATTGTCAGGCAAAACCAGTTAGTTTAAAATAACATGTTCATTGTGGTTCCCCGCCTTATGTATATCCGGAAAAAGGTATGATTTCCGAAATTCCCACGTTACCAATAGTGTTCGGAGTTGGTATGCATTTTATCTTTTGTCAATAGCCTTCAATTTATGTTTACAATCGCTAGCAGAGAGAAAGAAAACAGTCCTTTGACAAATGAGACTACTTCAGGGCTATGTTGCTCAGACTCTTCAAAAATATCTACGTGTCTGACCCTCCAAAGCTATGATTTTTTGGAGGATCCGATGACATCTTTTGAGGGTCCGAGCGACATAGCTTCAGGAATGATCTAGTTTTCGACAATGTGCCTATGAATACAGCAACATATGGTTACACAATTTGATAATTTGAATGTTGAATAAGTGGAACCTCGGTAGATCCTGTAATCATCACATTCATGTCGATCAACAACTATTAAGCAATGGAACATGAAATTGTCAAGTTTTTAGCTTTGACTTGTATCAACTCCTTGTTAGATATGACATCTCTGATTATTCATACAGGATTTCATTGTGAACAAAGTTCGAAGAACGCTCTTCGAAGCAGTTTCATCTTTCAATGGCAATCTACGCGATGAGGAAATTATGTCACGGCTCATCAAAGCAGAGTTTGCTGTTCTTCGCGATGCTTTTAATCTACCTCCTGATTCGGATGACTATGTTCGTAAAGTGGCTGCTAAGTTGCTTAATCTGTATCGTACTGGAAGGCTTGGTCATTATACTCTAGACCTTGCTCCAAATAATAACTAAGGAGAAGTCTTATACGCGAGTCATGACAGTGTTAGTTGAGGTGTCTAAATGAAAAGACGTGACAACTTTAGGGGACTGTCTATGTATTCAACTACATCGGTTTGAGAATTGTAGTGGATGGGTAAACCTGATAAGATAATATACAAGTCAGCTATGGAAATGGCTTCTGTTGTGGATGCTCCGATTGTGTTGCTATAGGGGACTCCCTTCACCGTGATATCAAAGGCGCAAATGCAGCTGGAAATTGCATCAGCGTTTATCACAGGCGGAATACATGCTGCTGAACTTGGACTTGGTAAATTCGGGTAAGTCGCGGATGATGATACTGCTGTACATACTCTTGCCTTGAAAAACAATGCATATCCTACATATGTACTCCCTTCATTTACATGGTGAAGAATGCAGTATTCACTTTGTACCTCTTTTGGTTTTGGTGTTAACCATTGTGTTTTATCTGAACCATTTTATCTTGGTGGAATACAAGGAGTGTCATGATCAAGTTTTAAATTAGTTGTTGTTATTATAGGTAATGTGAATTATATGAAAAATGGCACTAATTTTTAACTGGTATTGTTGCAAGTCTTGTGTTAAATCTTTTATCAAAAAAGTCTTGTGTTGAATATACCATAGGGAGAAGAGGCAATTATAGCCCCGTTAACTTTGCGATTTAGAGCAGATCCATTCCTCGTTAAAAAAATGGTACATATATATCCACGGTCTAGCATATCCATTTGATATAAGAAATATGTTCAAACATTTGCAGTAGAGTGGCGCTTCACCATCCAAAAACCTATTTTTCAGTATGACTGGAAAAAAAACCCGGTACCTTGTACATCAAACAATTCCGTCCAAAATTCTTTGATACCATAGTCTTTCATCACCCGAAACTTAAAAATGTCCTCTGTATAAGACTCGTGATAAGAATAAAGCACAAAGCATTCCTCCCAACATTGAGCGGAATAGTCAAGGTACGTCAAAGCTAACTCAGATACCGTGATCAAGGGAAAAAAGTACACTCACACAAACAAGCAGAAAATACACAGAGATTCAATGATTCCTCAGAAAAGCACATTAAATGAATAAGAGGTTGAAATATGATTCCTCAAAGCAGAAGAAAAAAGTATATTGATCCTATAGAAGTATACACTAAGTAAGTAATAGCTTTGGAGAGATCAAGCTTTCTGTAAAAACGAATCCGTTCTGCATACATTCTGAATCAGATTGAGGCCATAAGCCAGATGATTCTTTGGATGTCTTCAATACAACACCTTTACGTTCCACGTGTCTGCAACGGAGTAACACATCACCGTCTGAAAACTTGTATTTTGGTATGATTGAATGAAGATCAGTACCTTGTATATCAAACAGTAGAATCCAAGATTCCTTGATTCCGTAGTCTTTCATTACTGATAACTTGAATGTGTAGATCCCGCGATAAACATGAGTAGAATAAACACAAAGTAATCCTTCCAATACAGAAAGGCCATATTTTATGTAATGCGTATGGAAAACCAAGGACATTCCCTCTTGCCACGGTATCTCTCTGTACACCTCATTTGAAATACTAAATGAAACCAAAGAATTATTTAGTGATGAATCAAGCCAATGAAATGCTCCATATACAAATGCTAAAGAGTCCTCCATATCAGACAACACGGGGTGAACACCAATAGGACGTTCATCAATTTTTCTCCACGAACCACTTTTTAGTGTGAGAATTTCAGAACGAGCTCTTTGATCAATCTTAAGAATCTTATAGTCACCACTAACTGAGTCATATCCCAATCCGCAATCATAATCACTTATCACTGAAAATTCTGTACGAGGAAGTACTACTGATTCTCTCGTAGAGGGGTTCCATAGTAAAAGTATGTGGCGTTCATAACAAGGATAATCACGAACCTTGATGAGAGCCAAGCCATCATAACAACAATACATTCTGAAACTCAATGGTCTACGATTACAAGGCCAATCAAGTTTTTGTACATCTTCAACCAATTGAACCGATGATAACAAAGCTGTTGATAAAGAAGAACAATGAGAGCGAAACTCACCATTAAGAACAAGAATTTTGGGGGAATGTTGGTTATTCTTCCCATAATTGAAATGTTTCATCGTAAAGTAAGGATCCGATATCAATGTCATCCAAAGCATTGAGACACATTTGAATCGAAGAAGAGACCGCACAGGTAACTTGATGAGGATGTCTATAATTATTTCTTCTTGCAAGTGAACTCCCATTATCCTTGGATGCTTCACAAATCTCACTCCTACAATTCAAAAAAATTCGTTAGCCCTATGCAGCTAAGGAGCGCAAAATATAAAGAACTAAACATACCCAAAAAAAAAAGTAATTTAGCATCTATGCATATATATATATATAATTTTATATAGAAGTGTAATTTTTCATGATCTCCTAAGCTCCACCCATTGATCCATCTATCTAAGTCTCGATAGACAGAGTTTTAAGTTAGGTGAATAGTCAACATCCATCTTCTTTGTTTTCTTTGAATGCTTCACAACTCTCTCCCTGCAATTCAAATTTGTGGTGACGCCACGATTTTCAGCAAGAAAATTTCAAGTATGATGAAATTGAAATAAGCCGAATTCAAATATCTAGAGAGAGAAAAAAAAGAGATACCTTTGAAAATATTTGACTTTTGTGCCATCTTTAGAGCTGCCTTTTTTTTTTTTGAATGCTTACGTTCTCCTTTTAAAGATTTTTTTTTTCCTTTCCTACTTCTTGTGTGATACTTTTTTTTTTTATTTTCCTAATTTTGATATGATACGGTATTACTTTTTTTTTTATTTTCCTTATTTTGATTTGATAGGTATTACTCTTTTATTATTATGTTTTTCCTTTTATTAATATGATACGTTATTTTCTTTTCTCTTTTTATTTTCCTATTTTTTATATGATACATTATTACTTCTTTTTCTTTTTTATTTTCCTACTATTAATATGATATACATTATTTATAATAAATAAATAATTAAAGATATCTAACTCGTTTCAACTCTATGTATCACCTTGTTTGTTATTAGGATGTCAACGGTTCTTAGTCATTTTTTTTAATAACCATGATGTTCGAGCCAGCTTAAGCTCATAACAGCTCATGTTCGACATTTGAGGACCGTTTTTCAAATATTGAGAAAAGTGGAGTTGGGTGCGAAAAAATTCAAGTGCAAGTTTTGGCTCGAGTCCGTGGCTTTCTTGGGTCCTGTGGTGACGAAGGAAGGTATTATGGTTGATCCAGCCAAGATTGCGGTTGTTCGTGATTGGACGAGACCTACTTCCCCTACCGAGATTCGGAGTTTCATCGAGTTAGCGGGTTATTACCATTCTCTTCCATCGCAGCTCCATTGACTAAGTTGACTCAGAAGACTTGTGGTATTTTTGTGGACTGATGAGTGTGAGGCGAGCTTTCAAAAGCTCAAGGAGTTATTGACCTCGGCTTTTGGATCGTGACAGACATTTTAAAACTTTGGAGATGAGAGAGTCTGAATAGGCTGCTATTGGAATATCAATGGTCCCAAGGAGAAGGCTGCAGCCGAGGTCAAGTTCAATAACATGGCCCAAAGGTTAAACAATTTAGACCTTTCTCTTCTTTATATACTAGCTCCTCGACACGTGTGTGTGGCACGTGTAATTCGAGTCATGTACTATACACGTGTGTTGCATGTGTATTCCGAGTCATGTACTATGTAATCTTGTATAATGATTATAATACTTATTAAAATAAATTTGAGTAAATACTATAATTTTGAATTTAATATTTATTTTTTTGGTAGCAGAGTTGCATCTATTTGGCTAAGTCATTAGAAGCAGTTATTGTTAGCTGAGTTAGTTGAATCAATTGGGAGGGAAAGTTAGTTAGAAAGCAGTTAGTAACCAGAATGCTCAACCATTAAACATTATGCAAACTTGGTGGTATCTATATATTGTTTCTTGCAGATATGAGAACACATTAATGTTATTCTTTCAAACATAGGTCATCGTGCTCTGGCAAAAAATACAAATCATTTTGGTCACCGATTCTGTTTCTGGGCATTACTTAAGCCTCTTTTTACGTTTTGAACTAAAACCAAATCGAGGAGATGATATCAAAACTTCGAATCTGTGGTAAACTGAGAATCATTAAAGACATTTCTTGTAGCAACAAATGGAACTTTTATTGTTTCTCGGGCCAATGCACGAGTCTTGCAAATGAAAGCTGCAACTCATTCAATTTGAAGAGGTTGCTTTGTAGAGCATTCGATCAGTTGCTGATATAAGATTTAACTCTTATAGCTAGACTCAACAATTTCATCTTCTATAGTGCCTTTGAAAACCTCGCTGCTTCTTCCGCCTTCTCATAAGGATTCTGTATTCTAGTTCTTCAGCAATCCTAGAAAGCCAATCGGGATTTCGAGCTGAAAGCATTAAATATGTTATGGAGAATCCAACAATAAGTCCACACACATATCCCATAAGAACCACTTTCCAGTTGAGTTCACTCAGAAATGTAGAATCACTTTCTTGTTCCAGCTCATGTGTCGTGTTGTTTGTCTTGGGAAACCTGCTGTTTCCACAACCTTCCAAACTAGGAAATCCACGTAACTTATCATTACCTTCATACGAGTTCTTCTCGAATGTATCAAATTGGCGTCCTGTTGGGATGCATCCTTGGAGCTGATTGTGAGAGAGATTCAAGAATTCAAGAAATGTAAGAGATGTAAGTTGTTTAGGTATCTCCCCTTCGAGATGATTAGCTGATAGGTCCAATGATTCAACTGAAGACAACTTTCCGAGTGATGGCGGTATATGACCTTGCAATCCATTACGAGATAAATTCAACACGTGAAGTGCAATAAGATCTCCCATAATACTTGGAATGCGTCCTTCAAATCTGTTATTTGAAAAATCAATAGTGATGTACAAAGACAAGATTGAATCAACTTCAAGCTCCAATCCCTTTGTTACGACAGCTACGGAGTCTTGGTAATAACCGCCTTCTTTATTAGTTGAATCCTCCACAGTTTGATCAGCTCTCTTCATGGCTTCGAAATTTTGAAAAAGATTTGCAGGTAACTCTGCAGTAAATGCATTGCCAGCGAGGTCTATGATTCGAAGCTTAGGAAACAAGTTCTTCATGAACCTTGAAGTTCTGATGGGTCCATGCAATTTGTTGGATCTCAAACTTAACACTTGTAGCTCTGGCAGAGTCCCCAACCACATCGGGAATGTGTCAATGAGGAGATTAGCTCCTAAATCAAGAACTTCCAATCGTTGGCAATTTGCCAAGGATCGTGGAATTCTCCCCTCTAGCTTATTGCCATGCAAATTGAAGCTTCTAAGTGTTTTTCCAATGCTAAAAGTTCTTTGAAAAGTACCAGAAAGATTGTTGTGCTGCATATCAAGAATCTCAAGATGACCACTCATGTTGCCAAAACATTGCGGAATTGCTCCCTTCAGATTGTTTCTACCCAAATTTAGAATTTGTAGTGATGTTAGATTGCAAATAGACGAAGGGAGTTCTCCACTGAGATTATTATGTGACATCATTACAAACTGGAGGGTACTGATATTACCTAAGCATTGCAGAATTTTTCCTTTCAAGTTGTTTCTCGACAAATACAGGATTGCCAGGGATGTCAAATTGCAAATAGATGGAGGAATTTCCTCAATTAGATTGTTGTCATTGAGAAGCAGAACTTGCAAATTTTTCAAGTTGCCAAGGGAAGTAGGAATAGAACCAATAAGAAAGTTATTCCTCAAATCTAGACGCGTAAGAGACCTTAGGTAACCTATTTCTTCGGGAATGGATCCAGAAAGGTGATTAACATGAAGAAACAAAAAAGACAAGTTCGTCAAGTTTCCCAATGAAGCAGGAATAGAACCAGTAAGAGAGTTAATACTCAACGATAGCTTAGTAAGAGACCTTAGGTAGCCTATTGTTTCTGGAATAGGACCGGTTAAATGATTGTCAAATAAGCGGATGATCTGAAGTTTGGCTAGTGAGCCGATTTGTGGTGGGATTGAGCCTGAAATGTGATTGATATGCAAGTCAAGATAGACAAGATTAGTTAGATAACCAATCTCAGGTGGGATGGTGCCAAATAAATTGTTCCTGCTAAGATTAAGATACTCAAGAAAAGGGAGGGATGAAAACGGAAAAGCATAGAGTGTACCAATGATACTAGCATTTGTAATATTCAACGTGTTTACCCAACCATTAATGCATATAACTCCATACCAGTCACTGCATGCATCAGAACTTGGTGTCCATGATGCCAATAAGGAATTATTTTTGTTCTTGAAAGTCTCTTTCCATCTAAAGAGGGCAGTTGTTTCCTCAGTGGAAGCAAAAGTAACTGTAAAGAGATATAAAAGCGTGAAAAACTGAAGTAGAGAGGATATTTTGCTGGGAACCATCATCATATTTTGAGTTTCAATGAACTAATCGTGGAGAGTTCGTAGGATTTTATACAATGTATAATATTAAAGATCAAAGCGAAACATGTTTGACTGCCACCAAATGTTGCCAATTCGGCTTCTGTCTCTCTTATTCACACTTCTTTGTCTGTTCATATTTATCAGAGAAAGTGTTCTCATTCTCAATTCAAATTTTGGTTGTTCTGTTCTTGTCTTTTTGCTTTTTATTTTAATCCACGGGTTACATATGTAATTCAGCTATGGACTTAACCAAGTGGCCAAATAGTTTTGTTGTGTTATCACCATGATGCGGACATGTTTGGTTCTCAATCTCACCTTTAAATTAGTGGACCAATCCAACAATTATGTCATAGAACAATAATTCTAGACTACATTATATCTCTAATATACTTTGTACTAGATCGAGATGAGTTTAGGTAAAGCTATATGACTACTGAGATTTCATATAGCTGACATCAAGAGTTGATTTCTCATATTGTCACTCAATTATTGATAATTATCTTAGAAAGTCATGTAACAGAAAAGTCACTCGTTATCAGAGAAAAGTCACGCGTCTTAGAAATGAAAGCTACTACTCATTCAATTTGCAGTGAAGGTACTTCGAAATCTATTGCAGTGGGTCATGAGGTTGTTGTGTACATTTATGAATCGTGAAAGGAAGTGTAGTTGTACATAAATACTTTAGCTGCATCCATATAAGCAGAATTTATGTACTTTCAAAATAATAGGTACTACTTTCAACTATATTGCATCAGAAAGTTGAATTTATGACATTAAAACAAATAAGAGGTGATTACTGAAAAACAAAAAGAAAAAAAATATCTAACTCGTTTCAACTCTATATATCACCTTGTCATTAGTATGTCAACGGGTTTTAGACATTTTTTTTAATAATCATAATGTTCGAGCCAACTTAAGCTCATAAAATTTTATGGCCCCTGATATTCCTCCAAAGATATGCAATGATGAATATGGCAATGCATAAATTCACGTAATCCATTATTGCCTTCATATGAATATTTCTTTAATGTAGCGAATTGAGGTCCTTGAGGGATGCATCCATCGAGATGATTGTGGGAGAGATTTAAGAATTCAAGAGACGTTAGAGAAGCCAGGTGTTGTGGTATCTCTGCTGAAAGATGGTTGGATGAAAGGTCCAATGATTCGACCACACATAAACTTCCAAGTGATGATGGTATATTACCTTGCATTCATTATGAGACAAATTCAGCACCCGAAGAGCAATGAGTTCTCTCATGATACTTGGAATAAGTCCTTCAAATCTGTTACTTGAAAGAACAATAGTGGTGTAAATGGTCAAAATTTTGACAAGTTCAAGCTCTCGTCCCTGAATAGACTGAGGTCAAGTTCAGTGACATGGCCAGTCATGCCATCGCATACGACTCTATCCCATGAGCAGCAATCTCTGCTCATGTTCCATGAACTCGTGTAACTACACGAAACTAATGAGATATCTACAGTAAGCATTTTCTTGACTTTTAGAAGAGCGGAGCATTGATCTTTGCGGCAAGGATGAGGTATAGATAAAGAAAAAGAAAGCAGACAGAAACAAAGAAAGAGCAGAAATGAGAATTGGCCAGACCCCATGTTTAGCATCAAATAGTTTTAGAGAAAGTTTTAAGCTAGGTGATCATAGATATTCAACGGAATAGTTGAGGTGCATAGATAGATCATAATTCATACAATCACTTTTTGTTACAGTAGTGAACAAGATATATCCAACACACGGTTAGTTACCTGAAATAACAAAATTTCACTCGTTACAACTCTGTAAATCACCCTGTTTGACATTCTAATATATTATCCTAACGGATCGTAGATAGTTCTATCTTTTAATAACAGTAATGGTTGGGAAATTTAAGCATGTAAAATTGTATAATGAAGAGCTAAAATAGCACTGAAAAAGAGGTTGTAATGTCTTCATAGTACACAAGTAAATACTAAGCAAGTGATTTTGGTGAGATCAAGCTTTCTGTATAGACGAGTCCGTTCACAAATCGCTGAGAATCAGATTGAGGCCAAAAACCAGATGATTCTTTGGATGTCTTAAAAACAGAATGCTTATGTACCAAATGTATGCAATGGAGTAACACTTCACCATCTGAAAACCAGTATTTCGGGGAGATTGGATTAAGATCGGTACTTGGTATTTTAAACAATTTATTCCAAGATTCCTTGACACCGTAGTCTTTCATTACCCAAAGGTTAAAATTGTACTTGTCCTTATGAGCATGAGTAGAATAAACACAAAGCATTCCTCCCAATACCGAAATGCCATAGAGGATGAAATTACTGTCGGAAATCACGAACCTTACATCTGGCATCGGTAATTCTGCGTACACCTCATTTGAAATATTAAATGAAACCACAGACTTCTTCAGTGAACAAACCCAATGAAATGCATCATGTAGAAATGCCGGAGAGTCCATAGTAGACCGCCAGACGGGATAAATGCCAGCAGTATGTTTATCAATTTTTCTCCAGGAACCACTTTTCAACGCGAGAATTTCATTGTGTGATCTGTCACCATTTAGCTTAAAGATTTTATAGTCATTACTAGTTGAATCATATCCCAATCCGCAAGTAAAATCTATTCCATGTGAAAATCTTGTACGAGGAAGTACTATTGAATCTCTTGTGGAGGGGTTCCATAGCCAAAGTCTCATGTTAAGAAAATAATTATATTTACTAACCCCCATAAGAGCCAAGCCATCACAACAACAATATATTTTGCAACTCTTTACGTTACCGGTACAAGGCCAATCAACTTGTTGTACGTCCTCAAACAGTTGAACTGACGATAAAGAAGCTAATGCCAAAGAAGGATCATATTGGTAGAAGGAGGAAAGTTTTTCAGTAAGAAGACAAATTTTTTGGGAATTTTGGTTATTCTTGGAATGATTGTGATGCTTCTTCACAAAGTAAGGTTTGGAGATCAATGTCATCCAAGACCTTATAACGCATTTGAATCGAAAAAGAGACTTGACAGGTAACCTACCGAGGATTTCCGTGATTATATCTTCTTCAAAGTGAATTCCAGTAGTGCCATCAACATCCATCTTAGTCATTTCCTCTGAATGCATCACAACTCTCTTCCCTGCAATTAAAAATTGTGCTTATTACATAAAGGCGGATTTAGAATCTTGAGTTTAATTTATGGGTTCTGAATTCTAGAAAAGGTAACTTGTTTGGTTCCGAAATACATATTAAATAGATTTCTTAAAACAGATACAAGATTTTTGCCAAAATTAATGAATTTTGCAAAAGTCTTTAACTAGTACTATAGCTCCGCCTCCGCCCCTATAGGAAGAGTTTAAGTTAGGAGATAGTAGGTATTCAGTGGAATAGTTGAGGTACGCTAAAGCTAACTTAGATAGCGCCGTTACAAGGGACAACTCAGGCACATACACAAATACAAACAAGCAGAAAATACATAGAGATTCAACAGAAAGAAACAAATACCTTTGAAATGATTTGCCTTTTATGTCATCTTTAGAGCCTCCTTTTCTCTATTTCTTTGATTTGAATGCTTAGGGTTTCTCATTTTAGAGTTTTCTCTTCTTTACATACTAACTCCTCGACACGTGTGTGTGGCACGTGTAATCTGAGTCATGTACTGTGCACATGTATTCCGAGTCATGTACTATGTAATCTTGTAAAATGATTTTAATACTTATTACCAGAAAGATTGTTGTGATACATATGAAGAATCTCAAGATGACCAATCATGTTGCCAAAACATTGCGGAATTGCTCCCTTCAGATGTTAGATTGCAAATAGACATTGTAGAATGAATTGTTCGTGCTAAGATTAACAATATGAGTTCATTCCATTTAGCTCTGGAAGACGATCTTGTCCAAGGATCACTTATGCAACTCAAGTGACACACCTTGCAATAGCTCATTTACTACAATGCATGTGCAAAGTATTATATATATATTACTCATCTATTTAAAAATTTCAATTAAATTAAATTTGTATGCTCAAATAATGTGTGTGCAAATTAATCTATTCGGTATATAAAATCCCTGACTTATGATTTCGTTTCATATTTTTATTTCTGGAAATCTCAAACTTTCGGTTATTCTACAATGTGTTAGTATTGTTAGTGATGAGCTGAGGGTCTCTTGGAAACAGCCTCTCTACCTCCACGAGGTAGTGGCAAGGTCTGCGTACTATTTACCCTCCCCAGACCCCACCTAGTGGGATTTCACTGGGTTGTTGTTGTTGTTGTTGTTAGTATTGTTAGTGAGCACCATACAATCTATCAACTCATTTAAATGGTTTATTTGGTTTGCTACAGTATTTCTAAGTGATTTTCAATTGAGTAATATATAGTAATTTCAACAATAAATAAGAAGACACGGAATTTTACTCATAAATCGCATTCAATGAATGCGTTTTATGCCATTCATTCTCAGCTCTTTCTATTTTGCTATCTGAGAAGGGTTTTTCAAGTTTTCAACGACATGACGTTTTTTTAAAAGATAAAATATTTATCTTTTCTTCATATTATAAAAGTGACAAATGAAATAAATCAATATATTTTAAAAATAGTGGACAAATAAAATTAAATAGAAGGGGTAATATAGTAATTTCAATAATAAATAAGAAAGACACAGAATTTTACTCATAAATCGCATTTGTTGAATGCGTTTTATGCCTTTCATTCTCAACTCTTTCTATTTAGGTATCTGAGAACGACATGACTTTTTTCAAAAGATAAAATATTTATCTTTTATTGATATTATAGAAGTAATAAATGAAATAAATAAATATATTAGAAAAATAGTGGACAAATAAAATTAAACGGAAGGGGTAATAAGTAATTTCAACAATAAATAACAAGGCACGTGATTTTACTCATAAATCGCATTCAATGAATGCGTTTTATGTTTTTCATCCTCAACTTTTTCTATTTGGTACCTAAGAAGGGTTTTTCAAGTTTTCAACGACATGACCTTTTTTTAAAAGATAAAATATTTATCTTTTCTTGATATAATAAAAGTAATAAATGAAACAAATAAATATATTTTTAAAATATTGGACAAATAAAATTAAACGAAAGGGGTAATATAGTAATTTCAACAATAAATAAGAAAGACACAGAATTTTACTCATAAATCGCATTCGTTGAATGTGTTTTATGCCTTTAATTCTTAGCTCTTTCTATGTAGGAATCTAAGAAGCGGTTTTTCAAGTTTTCAACGACATGACGATTTTTTTTAAAATAAAATAATTATTTTTTCTTAATATTATAAAAGTAATAAATGAAATAAATATATATTTTTTTTAAATAGTGGACAAATAAAATTAAACATAAGGAATAATAAAGTAATTTCAAAAACAAATAAGAAGAGATTGAAACTTACACATAAAACGCATTCGCCAAATGCGTTTTATGCCTTTTTTTTCTCAGCTCAAGACATATTTTATATATATAAAAAATTAACCCTAGCTTGAAATCATCGTATACCTTTGGCTGCTATAATCTTGTTGATTATTAGGAAGCAAATAAGATGGATGTTGATGAGGCGATAGGAATTCACTTGCAAGAAGAAATCATTATGGAAATTCTTATTAGGCTACGTGTACGGTCTCTTCTATGATTCAAGTGTGTTTCAAAGCGTTGGATGAAATTGATTTCCGAACCTTACTTTACTAAGAAGCATCTAGAGTATAACCGAAATTCTCAAAAAAATCTTATTAGCCGGTGGTACGGTCGTGAGAAAGAGTATTCCTTATATTGTTCTTCTTTATTGTCAGAAAGAGGAAGTACAAAAACTCAATTGTCCTTCTAAATACAAACCATGGTTTTGCAAATTATATTGTTGTTACGATAGCTTAGTGCTTATTGAGGTTTTTGATAGCCATGTTCGTGATTACAAGCAACAGATACTTTTGCTATGGAACCCTTCCACGAGAGAATCAATAGTACTTCCCCGTCCAGAATTTCCACCATGGCCCTATTGTACATGGGGATTGGGATATGACTCAACTAGGGATGACTATAAGATCCTTAAGATTGATGAGAAATCAGGAAGTGAAATTCTCGGATTGAAAAGTGATTCTTGGAAAGTAACGGATAAACATCCTACCGCCATTCACCCTATCTTAACACTTACCGACTCTTTGGTATTTGTGCATGGGGCATTTCATTGGATTGGTCTTTTTTTGGCGGGTAAATTTTTTGGGTGATTTCATTTAGTATTTCAGATGAGATGTATAGAGAGATACCGTTGCCAGAACAAATGTACTATTCTGGCAGAAGTAACAAACGGGGTGTTTCATCATTGGGAGAAATGCTTTGTGCTTATTCTCGTCATAAATCGCATAAGGAACATTTTAAGATTTGGGTTATGAAAGAGTATGGCGTCAAAGAATCTTGGACTAAAGTATTTAATATACAAGTTACCTGTCTTTGTTCACCAGTCGTACCAAAATATAGGTTTTCGGATGGAGATGTGCTACTCTGCTGCATACATTTGGAACCTCGTTCTTATGTCTTTAGGACATCCAAAGGACCATTTGGATTATGTCTTCAATCTGGTGCCACTCAAATAGGATTCGTTTATACAGGAAGTTTGATATTTCCAAAATTAGTTGATTAGTATTTGCTTATGGATGATCTAGACATTTTCTTGCTTTTATGGTAATCGTGTTACAACCTATTTATGTGTTTTCATATCGTAAATTGAACTCTCTAGTGCACCCTGCAAGCAGGTTTATAGCAAATTTAAGAACGAAAAATATGAAGAGAAAGAATCGCTCTGCTTTTTCGAATTAAAATTTACTCTCTTGACGTTATTGTTCTACAATAAATTAGGGCAAAAAACACAACTAAAATTGCATGATCCAATATGAAGAATAAAAATGCACATTTTCTGTTTCTCTGATTTTTACTTTTGACAAAATTGGGAAGACGAAAGTTAGTTTTCACTTTACTTCCAAGCTTTTCTCCCTCGAAATTGTTTGCCAGCACGCGCCTGCTTTCTCTTTTTCTCGATCTTAGATTTTGCAACCTTGGATCTCTTTGCTGCTAATGGCATGCGTTTTTGGTGCTCTTTTTGCTGATTGCTTGAACCACCCGTCTGCAAAATTAAAACGCAGATGTTATCACATCATCCAAATCACAAGTGCATTTCATTAGAAGGGTAACCTTTTTAATACTAAAGATCCACATGTTTTTTGCGCGAAATGAGGACCTTAGTTCAAGCAAGTGCCAGTTATGTGAGATGTGAAAGCAAGAGATGGAAATTTGAAAGAGAGAGAACAGGGTAGGAAGGGAAAGAGATGAAGTCCTGTGTGACTGGGTACGGGAAAGCAGGAAGAAGTGTGGCTTTCAAAGTCTACGAAAACAATAGCTTGTGGAAAGAACGTTAAGATGTCTTTAAATTCTACAGATCTTATAACATTTATAATGCATAAAGGAAGTAGATGCAAAGTGTGCTTCGGGATATCCTTATTAAATGCTGAGTTGCCCATTCTTAGAAAGAAAGGAAATAGGTAAGTAGCTCGTAACTTGGCCAATAGTAAGAAAAAGCTGGGTAATAAAGAGAAATTTAGAAATATGCAATGCTAAGCTCATGCAATGAAATCATGTGCAAAAAATAAAGTACCTTCTTCTTTTTCAGAGCAGTTTTAGCTTGGTATCTCCCTCTATCCTCTCTACCAGCCCGAATGATTGCCAGTCTCTCTTCCTTGCTAAGCTTCTTTCGTATGTTAGCCTAACGAGTAGAAATAATAACATAAGATGCATCTTGTTAGGGCAGAAGATTGCAATTAACAAGAAATAAAACACTCACTCCTACAGTAAATCAAACAAAAGGGGACAAAACTATGTCCAGTGATCAGCTTAACATGGGAGAAGCATTTTGCTTTTGTTTTTCTCCCTCTTTGATAGTGAGGGAAGTATTTTCTTCTGAACCAACTCGTGATTCCAAATACAATAGTGACTGCAGAAGAATAATGCTGTAAAAGTGCAAGGCACCTAACCTCAAGTTTAGCAGCATCAACTCTTTTTGTACTAATTTGGTCTGAGCTGGGAAGCTTAAATCCATGTTGTGCTAAAACTGTTCTCGCGTCATTTTTCGCCTGATGAGCAAAATCAGAGAAATGTTACAGAAAAAACGATATACACGTTTGTAGGAGGAAGCTCAGGACACAAGAAGTTGTTAAGTCAAAGAACATAAATGTAGTATTCATTGCAAGTGGGCTTCAGTTTCTTCAGAATCAGCATACCTTGAGTTCTTTGATTCTTTTGAAGTCCTCATTAGATAAAATACCATCCTCCATATTCAGGGAGTTAGGTTCCATGTTCGCCCCTGCTAATTTCTTTAAAGCACGAAGGCTATTACTAGCAGCATTTACATCAATCTCAGATATTTTCCGTTTTGTTCCTTTAGAGACCTTTTCGTCCACATCATCCTCTTCAGAAGCCCAGCTATTGTTATCCTGCATTATATCGCCATCAACACCCTCTTCTTCATCATCACTCTCATCATCTTCAGTAGCTGATGCACTATCAATTGCATCATCATCTTCTGAAAATTCTTCAGCAGCTTGCGATTTGTTATCTTCATCACTATCACATTCATCATCAATTTCATGATCATCACCAGATTCATTGTCAGAAGCATCATCTCCATCTTTTTCACAATTGGCATCCTCTTCGCCTGGGTTAACATCATCATCACTTTGATCATCATGGTCAGACAAGCCAACAGACCCCTCCTCTACATCATCATCACTGTCCTCCTGATCCAGCAACTCAATGCCAGGAACACTGCTGGCAACACTAACCTCACCAAATGCCTTAGGCCTTGCTTTTGGGTTAGTAGGGCGCCCTCTGTCCTTCTTAACTAGAAGTGAAGGGCAAACCTGCAAGCAATTTTTGCGAATGTTGAACCAAATAAAATTTCACTGATTCTTAGCATGCATATTTAAGGCGAGAGGGAGAGAGGGAAAGAGGGAAATTCTTTATACCTCTCTGAACAAAGTAAGAAGCGATCGAGCCGATGCAGAAACTGCCTTCTCATTCGATTTTTTATACAACACGAGGTCTTGTAGCAAATCTTCTGTCATCAACTAAAACAAAAAAGATGAAATAACAAAAGTTGTGATTATATGAACAAGTAAAACAGTATATAATAATTAACTAGTACTTAATAAATGACAAATACTTGGAGAAACATTGTACCAAAGGCATGCGTAAGCATATTTCTCGGATTACATTAAGTCCGACAGATATAGCCTGCAAATGTAAAATACAGATACAGAATGAATATTATTTGTGTACAACATATATGATCCTAATGAGATATGAATGTCATATTGGATACCTCAGGCCTTGAACGGTCATGCACAAACTGATTGACTACTTGTTTAAATAATGGTTCAACAGCATCAGGAGGCACCTGTCAAAATAAGATAACATCTGAGGAGGAGAAGACTAGCAAGTTTAACAACAGAAAAAAAAAGAAATTGCAGAACAAAAACACCGTACCATATCATGACATGCCTGAACCGCTGCAGCAAGCAAATTTGTCACATCACGCTGATGGGGCTGCAATTATAAGGACACCCACACACCAACCTTAAGTATGAATGTGAAAGTACAATACCAAAAGAAATATCAACTGTAATGCCAAAGGAAATTTCATAATTAGATACCTGAACATATCTCTGAAGGTAAGGATAGAAGTTCAACAAAATCAAGTGATGGAGCCCAACTGTTCGGGCAATTACTTTCATCAACATCATTTTAACCTGGAAGGGGCCAAGAAATGAACAAATATGTAATTTTAAGTGATGGCTCCCAAAGTAAATACTACACTGGAAAGTCCATTCCAGCTTCACCAATGCAAAACAACAGGAAGTAAAGAGAGGTAATCTACCTCAAACCTCTCATTGCAAGTCTGAAGACGTGAGAAAAGCTTTTCAGCAAATCCCTGCAAGAAAATATATACTATAGGTATCGTTTCCAAAGATTCCAAATCACAAAGACTGAATCATGGAGTACTAAGAACTAAAAAAACCTGAGCATCCTTTAAGTGGTTTAATGGGGAATAATAACTAGTGTTGTTATTTTCAGATTGCAAGCGCTGCTGCTTCTTCATGCTGCGGACGGCACGCTGCAACTTTGCTTGCTTTTTCTTTTTGCTGGACGATGTACCCTTATTATTTGCCTAGACGTGCAAGTAGTCGTAAGTACAACAGATTTGATGAATATTTACCTCTACGGAGGACAAACTTGCATCACTCTCTTGAGAGTTTGAACAAAGTTAAGTATTGAAAGATAGAGACACCAGAAGTAAGTTGTTTTAATATTCAAAGATCAGAATATGGGAACTCATTATTCCACTCCAACACAGAAGGATCAGATCAAAGTGCAAACACTCATCTGCATGTTTTCCAGCCTAAAACTGGAGTGCACTACATCTTGAACAGACTTGTTATTCTATACGCATGCCAAATAAGTTCAATAATCACATTGAACTAAGAAAATAAAGAGTGAAACAAATATGCTCACATGGATCAAAAACCATTTAATGAATGACGCACATTAGAATTATAAACCATTCACTGTAATCACTAGTGCAGGCATTATTGCTCCACAGATGCGTATTATATAAGGAATGCCCATAGAGGATTTAATATGAGAACCAACCTTATAAATAGCCTCTTTATTTAGCAAAACCTGAGGCTGATTGGCTGTCTGCTCATCTTCACTATCTGCCATATCACTATCTGAGTCATCTTCAATTTTCTCATAATCAAGAAGAAAGGATAAAGAGGCAATCATAATCCTGAGAATTTGAACAAGTACAAAAAGTTTTAGTTGCAAAGGGTGAATGCAGTGAGCAACTATTAGCAACAAAGCCTACCTCGATGATGAATGAAAGCATGCCGAGCATATAGCATTTGCTGTTCTATCATCAAACCACACCCTTCTTCGATGAAGCTCACAAAGTGTGATCAGTGATCTTTTTGCTTTTGCTTCATCCTCTTGCTATCACATTTTAGTAACCACAAATAAACAGAATTTTAACCTTCAACCAAAAAGAAATTCACAAGGCATTACAAAAAAAAAGGTAGAACCAAACCTGTAGCAAAGCAAACAAAATATTCTGAAGTGCCCGATTTTTCGTATCATTCTTGTGCTTCTGATTCATACGCCTAATACTATGGATAATATGAGAGAAAGCCAATTTTCTCAAAACCCTATCCCCCAGAGTTTGGAGCTCCATGAACAATGCAAGTGTCTCCCCAATGTCAACAATCTGAAATAAAACACAACATTAATACTGATCTTCATTGGTTCCTTGTTTAATTTGTCGGGTAATATGTCATCAATGTTGATCTACATTAGGTCCGTCCTTGTTTAATTTGTCGGGTAATATTTCACCAATGTTTGTCTACTTTAGTTCCTTAACCATCTGATTACAAGGTATTCAATTATTCCATCGTGGCTAACACACATATCAAGTGAACTTTCCATTACTATGTGATGCACAAATTATTGCAATATTTTAAATAATCATGGTTAACTATCCACAGAATACCTGCTACCTACCACCAACACAACTATCGAGCAACTCCGTCCACCAAGCTTGGACAAATAGAAAGAAATCACAAACTAATTTTTGCCTCAGATGGGATTTGGACCTTGAGAGCTCAGGGTTCTCAACTCACTTCATTGAGCACTAAGCTCACACAATTGGGTGCTTGATGCACAGGTTATTGCAAGATATATCAAATTGAGGAGCAACTGCTTTAAAATTTACTAAACAAGCCAAAATTAAACAACGAGCTCAATCTAACAGCATCACATATAAAACAAAACGGATGCATTAGTACTTTATATTCAATTCAATACAAAAAATATCAAATTGAGGAGCAATACCTTTCGATTAACGAGTAAAATCAAAGCTTGAGTAACATGAACACGTAGTCCAGAAGGCAAAGTCCGAGCCGAAGAACGAAGCAACTGAGCTAACTCTTTAGGGAAATTAACAAGCTTTTTAGGATTAAACGGAGTTACATGTGATAAAAACATAGCACGGTCACCTAAGTCCTTAGAAACAGTCGGGTCAGTTGATACACCGCTAAGGGAAGTGAAATTTAGTGCTGCTTGTTGTTCGAAGAGATCCATGGACGACTTGAATTGATTGTATACTAATGTTAGTTCAGCTTCGTATCCTTCTGGATCGCATTTCATCTTTGATTGTAGAGTTGGTAAGCTTAGTTTTTCCGATGTTAGACCTGAGGCTGCTATTCCTTCCGCCGTCAGCTCCGACGACGCGTGACGGCCGGAAATTGGAGACATGATGGCCGGAGAATATGTTCGTGTGTGGGGAAGAAGAACCCTTGTAAAACCCTAGAAATTGAGGTTGAAGACTGATAAGAGGGGTAGATATGTACTTCTTTAATATGAAAAGGGTATTTTGGTCTACAAAGTACAACTACATAAAGCACAAAAGATTAAAAAAAACTCGTTCTTTATGTTTGGTTTGAGCATGCATTGATGTTTGATACTTTTTTTATAACAACAAGTACGGTTCAAAATCAAACCGAAATTGATAACTCAAATCGAAAAAAAATTATTGATTTATTGGTAATAGGTTATTGGTTTAGCGTTTTCGATTATGATTTTGATTTTTTTAATTATCGAATTATCGATTCTTAACGGTAATGTTTGATATTCTTATGCATGATTCATTTGGTTTGTTACCTTGTTTTTAAGTATTTTTTAATGGATTTTTTGTGTCAAATCTTTACAGGTAAACCGATAACAATCAATAATTGATAACTGATAAGCCAATAGCTAAATAGTTCTATAACAGTTTAGCATATCTACGAACCAATAAACTTCAAAATCAAACCGAATTAATCAATACACCTCCCTAATAACAACGATGTTTGGGTCATTTTATGCTCACCTCAATTAATTTCATGTAATATGTGTTAGGACAAATAACATAAATCTCACTAGTTTATAGTCTAATTATGTGTCCTTCTTGTGAATTTTTTAAAATTATCATTGTGTCAAAATTTGGTCCAGATATAATGTATAAAAGTGGATTCGCATTTATCCAGGACACACTAACTCTTTCACTTGCCTCTTTTTCTATGTATTTGATATCCTAAACACATGTATCCACTATGATTTGCATGTATTTAGAATACAATGACTCTCTCGCTTGTCTCCCTCCTATCTCGCTTGCCGCTCTCTTTGTATCTGTATTTGAGTCCATAATCCTTTCAATTGTTATAAACACATCTAATTAATGTGAAATTCGTGGACATATTTGATATTTGAAGTTTATGAATTTCTTCAATAATTTCAAATTAATTTGCAGTAATAGTAAAAGTTATGATCAATTTTTATACATTTTTTAATTTTAATACTTATACAAAATATGAGCAAAAATTACTAAATTCCCGAAAAATTCATACCTAGAACTTAGAATCCACCCATTTCTACAAGTTAATAGGGCTCGTGTAAATAGCCCATATATGCAAATAAAAGCAGTCCTAGGAATTGAAAGAGTGTAGGTAGTGGGCTCAAAAGCCCATAACTAAATTCAAATCCAAACCAAACTTAATTAATTAGGTGGCATCTTTAACATGTAAACGTGGCTATTCTTTCAACACTAGAAAAATAATTGGAATTAGAGTCAAAATTTGAAATTTATGAATTCAAAATTCTAATATGTTTATGTATATTTAATGAATAATTTTAAATAAATACAAAATTTAAACTAAAATTTCTGAATTCGATTGAACCTGCTATCCCGCCCCTAGAAAAAGTGTTTAGTTTGCATCCACTTTCCCATAGATTTGAAAAACCATCCAAATTTTCAATTTATTTTTTATGGCTAAAAGTTCAACAAGTGGATGACAAAACCATAAATGGTGGAGTCTACATTTGGCTTTTTCTTTAACTCATTTGCCTCTTTGTCTTGTTATTAATAGGACAAAAGAAGATAAATATCAATTTGAAAAGTATTTTGGCTTATATTACACAAACAAACAAAACATTACTTGCCATTCCCACTATTATCCACTAAGAAACAAAAGGAAATGATGGTATTTTCCCTTGTTTTTGTTAGGGCATGTTTGGACTCAACTAGTTTTTTAAGAATATTTAGAGTCTTTTTTTAGCCACCCTTTGATTCCCTATACATCTTATGTCATGACAAACATACAACCAAAAAGTTGTTCCACAAATTTCCCTTTGAGGTGAAGAAAAAAAGTGGTGGAGAGATGGGGGATGGGTTTTTAATAGTGTATTTTATTTATTTTTTGTTTGATAATTGATATTGTATTAGAACTTGATTTATTTAAATTTATATTTCATAAGCTACTTAATTAGTACTTCTTTGTACCTAAAATATGAATTCAAGATGTCTGATTAAAAGATTTGATTAAGCTCTTTTTTCAACGCATTGTCATATACTCAAGTATGAGTAATAATTAAAGGTAATCACTATGCAACAAAGAAACTTATCTTTTCCCCTCTTTTAAGGATTAAAGTTACGTTTTTTCTGTGTAGAAAGAAGAATTTCGAATTAAACAATTTAACTAGTTTTTCTTCTTTATACAAAGAAAAAGATCATGTTCAACGATTACCTCAAACTATATTAGTTTATTATGATAAAAGATGAAAATCACGATAAAATAGATAGAAATTAACTTGAAAGGTGAAAATGTCTATAACTAATTAATAGGCATATAGGGGTTTAACTTTATACAAAACATAGTCATTTAAGCAATCTATACATTAACGAATTACTCATAAACTAACTTAACATGAAAAAAATGAAATAAAATCAGTGTGAGGTTTATTGCGTTGTGGTTTTAGTATATAGTAATAGTAGAGACACTTAATATGTCTATGATTAAGTTTGCATTGAAAATATTGAATTCAGATAAATCCGTTATATCGAAATAATGAGTGGGGTGGGGTGGGGGGTTGTTGAGACTTGATAGAAATTTTGGAAAAACTAATAAAAGCTGAACACAAAGAGCCAAAAAAGGTAGCTCATTTTCTCACAAATTCCATGTTCTTCAGAAATGAAAAAAGACAAGTGCAAAAACAGTAAGGACAAAAACTACTCCCACGCCATTTTCGACAAACGTAGCCATGAAGAAACTCTTTCAAAACCTGACACAACAACACATATCCTCCACCTCTTTCTCTTTTTAATTTAACCCCAGAAATCCCAATTCCTCATTCATTTTCCTCTCTCTTTTTCCTTCTTTAACAGCAACTTGAAAAAAAGCAAGAATCTTGTTTTCTCAGTAAAGAAAGCGAGTGTTGTGAGGATTTGTTTTGGTCTTTTTTTTTGTGGGGTTTTGATGATTTGAGTAAACAATGAAAGGAACTTTTGGTTCTTCCTCTATTTGGTGAGTTCTTGCCAAGATTTCATTTTTATCAATTCAAGTTTCTGTTTTTCTGCTGAGTTTTTGAAATTTGGACTGAAATGATTGTTGGTTTTGATTCTTTTCCTTGTTTCACCTGTTTTTAGTATTGTGTACAGTTGAACATGCTCTCTCTGTCACTCTGTTTGTCTTTTTTCACCTATTAGCTCTTCTACATACTTTGTGAAAACTTCCTAAATTTGTCACTTCTGTTCTGCTTTTATTATGTTCTCTGTTTGGTGATTGTGAACAACTGAGCCAAGATTTCATTTTTACCAATTCAAGTTTCTGTTTTTCTGCTGAGTTTTTGAAATTTGGATTGAAATAGATGTTGGTTCAGATTTTTTTTTTGTTTCACCTGTTTTTACTGTAACATCCAGTTTAATACCTCTGTAACAACTTCCTTGTGTTGTCTTGATTTGGTTTATTAGGAAATTCTGTGTCTTGATTCAAGATTCCTTTTTTTTACTTCTTTGTAGGAGCTCCCACCCTTTTACTTCCCTTGACTAGAACTCACAACCTTAGGGTTGAGGTGAGGGGTGTTTACAATCCGAACAAGTCCCTCTTTTTTTTTTTTCCATTCAACCACTTTGAGGTATGTGAGTTTTTTTTTTTTGTTGGGGAAACCAATAACTCCTTGTTGTGATTCAGTTTTGTGACAATGTTACAAGATGATGGTTCTTCATCTGTGACCTCATCATCACCTATTCAAATATTTCCAATGATGTCTGTATCACCTAGCTTTGGTTCATCAAGTCAGTGGCTTAAGGAGCTGAAATCTGAAGAAAGAGGGTTGTATTTGATACATCTTTTGCTTGCTTGTGCTAATCATGTTGCTGCTGGTAGCCTTGAGAATGCTAATATAGCACTTGACCATATTTCCCAACTTGCATCTCCTAGTGGAGATACTATGCAAAGGATTGCTTCATATTTTACTGAGGCTATAGCTGATAGGATTCTCAGGAGTTGGCCTGGTCTTTATAAGGCGTTGCGTTCGACTAAGTTATCGGTTGTCTCAGAAGAAATTCTTGTTAGGAAGATGTTTTTCGAGATCTTTCCGTTCTTGAAGGTTGCGTTTGTGGTCACAAATCAAGCTATAATTGAAGCTATGGAAGGTGAGAAGATGGTTCATATTGTCGATCTTAATGCTGCTGAACCTCTGCAATGGCGTGCGTTGCTTCAGGACTTGAGTGCGCGTCCTGAAGGACCGCCCCATTTGCGCATTACTGGGGTTCATCAGCAAAAAGAGGTGTTAGATCAAATGGCACATGTGCTTACTCAAGAAGCAGAAAAACTGGATATCCCTTTTCAGTTCAATCAAGTAGTTAGCAGATTGGAAGATCTTGATGTTGAGAAACTTCGCGTGAAAACGGGGGAGGCTCTTGGGATTAGTTCAGTTATGCAATTGCACACCCTTCTTGCCCATGATAATGAAAAGAGGTCTCCCTTGCCTTTTAAGCATTCAAATGGTGTTAACTTGCACAGGGCACTAGTCAACCAAAATACTTTAGGGGAATTTCTTGAAAAAGATATGGCAAATGGTTGCAGTCCAAGCAATGACACAGCTTCTTCGTCCCCGCTATGTTCAACTGGTTCAACAAAGATGGATAGTTTCCTCAATGCTTTGTGGGGTTTATCACCAAAAGTCATGGTGGTAACAGAACAAGATTCTAACCATAATGGGACAACTCTTATGGAGAGGCTATCGGAGTCGTTACATTTTTATGCTGCATTATTCGATTGTCTTGAATCGACATTGCCAAGAACATCATTAGAGAGATTAAAGGTGGAAAAGATGTTATTAGGTGAGGAGATTAGAAACATTATAGCATGTGAAGGGATCGAACGAAAGGAGAGGCATGAAAAGCTCGAAAAGTGGTTCCAAAGATTCGACACATCTGGTTTTGGGAATGTGCCTTTGAGTTATTATGCTATGTTGCAGGCAAGAAGGTTGTTGCAGAGTTACAGTTGTGAAGGATACAAGATCAAAGAAGAGAATGGTTGCGTGGTGATATGTTGGCAGGATCGAGCACTTTTCTCAGTGTCGTCTTGGCGATGTAGGAAGTGAGACTAAACTTAGTTTTCATTGTAATGTTTTAGATTTATCTCTTCCTTTTGTTGTTGTAACATAATGTGTAGAACTCCAGTTAGTGAGACATTTTGTTGTCATCTTTTTTGATCTCATGTGATAAGTTTCTCAATAGTGTTTAGATTTCCATTTTGATATGGATCAATAAAGATGATGTTCTCTAAAAGTTTCTTGTATGAAGTCATATTTTCTTGTTGTGTTTGTTATTTGTACGTTGGTTGAATCCATCGACAAACACCTAAAGTTGACACAATTTCTTAGTTGAGACTTGTATTGTTTAAGCACATGTAGTAGGGTCCAAATGTGCCATTTTGACACTTTTCGTTGATTTGGTAAGTTGCGTGTTTTTCACCTGTTTCAGTCATCGGAATTCAAAAAGTTCTCTTCTTTTTTTTTTTACTTATTAATTTCTTTTTTGATGTGTACACACGATATTCATCTTTAGTAATTAATATTCTAAATGGTGATTTAGTCATTGGATATCCATTTCCTTCTGTGACAAAATGAACATGTCACCTTCTTTTTCATTTTCAGTAGATGAGATTAAGTTGAAAGGTATTATCGCAGTGCTTCTTTTTTGTAAACCTTGTTCTTTCAAATAAAATTACCTTTTTGGGTGTCCTTACGTACATGAGTCAGACTATTGTTTCGTTACTTGCTATGTATCCGATAACTCTATCCATCGGGATGATATTTTTAATTATCCTAAGGTTCTACTAGGCATAGGCCTAAATCATCAAATGTCTAACAGGCCACCCTAATTTGAGATTTCTTCAACTAAATTGGGCCTGTCTGGTTTTTGTTACAGGATGGGCCTAATTGGTAACCCAGTTGACATGTTTAACAATTATATACTTTATAGGCATCGTCTATAGCAAAACATAGAAAGTTTAAAATATGATTCTAATCATTCTTCTCAAAACGCTCTAGCACGATGGATTGGGGAAGGAGAAGTCCGCAAAATAATCCAACACGATTAAAAAGTTACCTTTATTTCATGAGATCCTTGAATCAATCACGACTACTATTATAAAGAGGGGGAACGAACTTTTGCATAGGAACATATTGGGAGTCGTCATCTTCTTTCTGATTGTGACAAGTATTTAAGTGTTCGAACAAATCTATTGATTGTCTCGTTATAACATAAAAATAGGGAAGGGATTCTTCGTCTAACGCTCTTGATTTTTCTCCCGCTAGAGAATTAGAACGGTATATTAAAAACTTATTTAGCATTTGGTAGGATGTGTTCATTGGAGTAGATCCCAAAACCAACACTAAAATGGATAGATGTTCGGATGACCCCAAAATCAACACAATTTGAGAACACACGTAAAAAAATAATTAAAACTTGAGTTTAAAATGTTTAATAGAAACACTTTACTATAGGTTGAGAAGTTCACTCGAAACAAAATATAATTCGAATGTCCAAATAAAATTTACTGATAAATTTGAGAGGTTTATCAATGTATTCCTTCTATTATCTATTACAATATTAGTACTACATCAAGCAGTAAAAAAAAAAAAACCATGAAATATTTTTTTTTTTTTAACAAAACTATAGTATAATGCCATAATTGGGAAAGTGTAGTTTGTTAAATGAGTGTCTCAAACTAGCCATTCATATCACATATATCTATCAGTCTCTTTACTATTGACACACATAAAGAGGAAATAAAACAAAAGCACCCTCAACCTTATGGTGCAAGTAGTAATTTTTTCATTTGCTAGATAAAAGATGCCATGTGAGTATTGTACTACATGGAATAATGTTTGTACCTTGATATGGCAATTGGCAAATGAGAAATTATTCAATTTGATAATTTTATTTTATATTTTATATAGACACACTTGTTTTAGTAAAAAAAATGTTGTGAATATAACAAATTGACATTTTATGTCTCTGATTTAATAGTTTAATGATCAAGAGGTCACAATTTAATTTGCATTGAATGTCACACATCAGAAATAATGTGAACAAAAAATTTGTCAAATACATGATTTTATAAAATATTGAAAAATGAATAATTTAATTTGATATTATATTCATAAAAATAATATAATTTAGTACGACATATTATGTAATTATATATAACATAATTATTCAAACAAGTGTTAGTGACGTTTTTGTATATTGTCTGGTTAAATCTTTCTAGTCTATATAATAAATAAGTATGTAAAAATATCTTATCAGTACAATGGAAAAGAAAAGCTTACGTAAATCATTAATATCCTATAATATTTATATTATTCAACAATTCCTTTTCACACGTGGTAGATGTGCATTCGGCAAAAATAATAAAAATGTGCGTAATCTAATTCGAGTACAAGTGGTATAAAAGAAAGATATTGCGCTACATGCTTAAATATTTGTACTTTACATTGGTATATATTAGAACTTTAGCATATGAATTTTGTATTTAAGAAGTCTACCTTGATAATTAATATCATATGTTATTGATAAACAATTTTCTTTCATACATGGGAGATATATATTCGATAGAAATTATAAAAATGTGTATAATCTGATCAAAATATAGGTATACAAGTATTCTATTGCACTATATGCTTATATGCTTGAACTTAATTTACCTTGGTAGGTATTAAAACTTTACCTTCGTCAATATCAATTTTTTCTCTCTATATTTGAAAAACGATAAAATACGCTTATTATGAAATAATATATACATCAACCGTCCAAATTCCAAAAAATTTATTAGTGTCATTTTGAATATTATTCAATCAACAAATCTTTCTTGTCTATTTAGTACATAAAAAACTCTATCAATGTGATCAAAGAAAAGAAAAGTTTGCGTGTTTCATTTAATATCCTACAATATTTCTAATGATAAACAATGTTTTTTCTTACGTGGGAGACATAAATTTGATAAAAAGTAACAAAGATGAGTGTAATCTGATTGGGGCAAAAATATTATAGAAAAAAAATATTGCACTATATACTTAAACGTTCAAAAAAATATTGCACTACGTGTTTAAAGGGTTGTACTTAATTTACATGGGTAGGTATTAAAACTCGACATTTGTCAATATCAAATTTCTCTTTATATATTAAAACAAATTATGATATATTTATAACATAAAACAAACATTCAAATAAACTATTAATAACGTTTGTATATCATCCAACCAGACCTTCCTCGTCCATCTAATAAGTACATAAAAAAACTTATCAAAATGTAATAAAATGAAGAACAAATTATATCAATACACTTTTCTTTTACACGTGTAAGACACACATACAACGAAAATAACAAAAATACATATAACCTAATTGGAGCCTCATTATTAAAAAAAACACATTGCACTACATGCTTAAACACTTATACTTTACATTGATAGGTATTGAAATTTGACATTTGTCAATATCAAATTCTATTCCACACCATTAAAAGATGTGGTGCGGTGGATGAAATTGCTCATTTCTTAATCAAATGTTTCATAATTGAGCCAGGGGTGTAGAGAGTTCGTTAGTAGGACCACTACCCCCTGAATTGAGCCCTACCCGACGAGAATTTGTGTGACATAGGTATGACAAAATTCTTAGCTAGCGTTTGGCTATAAATTTTCAAATATTTTTGGCAAATATTATTTGAGTGAAAATTTGGGTGAAATTTCATCATGTGTCTGACTATAGTATTTGGGAAACATATTTCACTTTTTAGAAAAAATATAATTTATACCAATAAGTTTTAAAAACTATCAAAACTAACCATAAGTTTGTATTACAAGTCAATTAGATCTTCGTTGCAACAAATAACAAGTAGTGTTCATGACACTAGAGCAATGTGATAGTTTGGAGTGAGTGCAACAAACATCATTCCATACATCGTGAAGTAGACAAAGCACATGACTTTGTTAGCCTGAGCCGATTGTTCATCAACAATCATATCATCACTTTCATATTCACTGAATATTTCATAACTACTTTAGTGGTTACGTAAAAAATTATGTAATACAACGTAAACAACTACTATAAAAGGTGTTTTTTGTAAAAGATAAAAGTTTGGTGTAAAATATCAATTTTTAAAAGATCCCAAATAATGAGATTTGGCTCAAATACTAGAAAAAACTAGTATTTGGGAATTTGGGATATTTGTCAAAAATATTTGCCAAATAATGACAAATTGTATGGACAAACACTATTTGCCAAATTTTTCCCCAAATATTACTTGAAAAATCTATGGCCGGGTCCTTAGTAGAGAGCACAACCCCAAGAATGGGGCCATATTCGATACAAATATGCAAGCCATGGGTATGAAAAAAAAACTTAGTAGGGAGCACTACCTCTCGAATGAGGCCCTACTCAGCGTAAATCTGTGAGCCATAGGTACAAAAAAATCCTCAATAGGGAGCTCTATTGCCACGAATGAGGCCCTACCCGATGCGAATCCGCAAGATGCCATAGGTATTGATATTCCTTAGTAGGGCGCTACCCTTGAAATGGAGCCATATGTGACACAAATATGAATTAAGATTAGTCGAACTCTAATGCGCATACAACATCATATGAAAACTTTTTTTTCTTTCTCCCACATGCCACTTTTTCTCTCTATATAGATTTTAATATATAGAAATATATGTATTTATCTTACAAATACAAATCAAAAAAGAAAGATAAAAGGGAAAAAAAAAGAGAATAAAAAAAAATTACTTCTCATATTTTTTTCTCTTGAGAAATTATTTTTGCTTTTTCTCTCTCTCTTTCTCTCTCTACAACACCCACATTCTCTCTCTAAAAAAAACTGGAAATTCATCAAAAACCACACCGGTAAATCCGATTCACCTGCTTCATCTTCTTCATCATTTCGATTTTAATCCATTTTTATCCTTAACTTAGCCTCCAATAAGCAATAATCGCTTTAACAAATTAAAAAAAAAGTTTCAATAAACAAACGTCGTCGTATTATACACCTTCTGCTTTTTTTTTGCGCCGCCGGAGGTGGGTTGTGGTTCTCCGGTGAAGTAAGTTTCCGGTGAGAGTCCGATTACTTTGTTTTTGCCTAAAGACGTTGCGTAGATTGTGTTTTTATTGGTTTGCGATGCACTGAGTTGTGTTTTTTTTTGAAATCAATTTATGCTATAAGCATCGGATTTTTTGTGGAGTGTTGGTTTGGTTGATGGATTGGAGAGGAATTAGGGTTTTGGGGTCGTAGATTTAGTTT